ATTCAATTTGTAATCTCTCTCTCTCTCTCTCTCTCTCTCTCTCTCTGGCTCTCGGTTTGTCCATCTTGTTCCTTGTTCTTCTTTTCATTCATTCATTTTGTTGTTGTTGTTGTTGTTGTTAGATGCCAAAATGATAAAATAATTTTTAATTTTATTGAAAAAAAAACATTTTCAATTTAAAAATCATCATTTATCATCATCATCATCATCAAGACAACATTGAATTGAATTGAAACCTACCTATAACATTATCAACATTTGTCAGGATGAGAAAAAAAAAATATCCATTTAAAAAAAAAAAAAGAAATCTCGAATAAAATATTCAATGTTTGTTTCATTATTATTCAATATAATGATGCTACTAATGATTGAATGATAATGATAATGACACGAGACATTTTCTTTTCTTTTTTTTACAAAATAAAAATCCGGATATTCCAATCGCGGGTTATGATGATGATTTTTGTTTGAAATTTTTAATAGGAAAAAAAATTGAATTTTCTTCCTTTCCACAATTGTTGTCGTCATTGCAATAAAAGAAAAATCTTAAAGGGATAAAATGGTTCAGACCATGATTTTCATCATAATGATGATGACATCCAATGATGACATCCGATTTTTTTTCTGTTGTTGTTGTTGTTGAGGTCGAAGATGTTTTTTTTTCTTCTTTCCTGTTTCACCTGTGTCATTCAAATCAAATGAATTGAAAAAAAATTCAATTAACCCGATAATATTTTGTTTACCTTGATCTTAGTCGTTTGTTTGTTGTTGAATTTTTAAATTATTTTGCTGGTGATGAATCATTTTTTCCTGTTATTAATTTCTAAAAATCTTTCTTTTGTTGTCGTTGTTGTTTGGCATCAATCCTGGAACAGAAATTCAATTGAATTTCATTTTTTTCTTTAACAAGTTTTTTTTCTTTAAATTCAAATTTAAATTCGTCGATTTTTCAATTCATAAAATATGTTACAAAAATTGAATTGCTGTCGTTTGATCGATTTGCAAAGTTTTTCAGTCTAATTCTCTATATAATCCGATTGATTGATTGATTGATTGATCGACGATAACTATGATGATGATGAGGATAACTCCTTTTACAAAAAATTCCTTTTCACATTTGAAAGCGAAAAAATGAAGTTTTTGAAAACTTTTCGGAAAAAAAGGGGTAATAATAGATTATATAACTGATTGAACTTTATGATAGTAATCCGGCTTCAGAGAAATCCAAAAAATGATGATCAATATGAAATGAAATGAAAAGAAAATTCAATCAACCAAATCTAAATCAATCTTTCTTTTTAGATTTTCTATGAAGTTTTTCTCCATAGAAAATTAATGCCTTTTTTGTTTTTCTAATTGACTTTTCATTCATCCAATTTTAGTTTAATTGATTTGATGAAGATCTTCATTAGGTCAATCCATCCACCTACACACCTTACAGAGTGATTCATTCATTCATTCATTCAGACAATGAAAATCCAGATTGAACAACAATAACTTTCATAATTTAATTTAATGAAATGATGGTTGTATGTATATTCTTATCATTTCAAAAATTGAATTTGATTCAAGTAAACAAAACAAAAACAAAACAAAAACAAAAACAAACAAACAAAATTTGACTGAAAATAGAAACAAAAAAAAATGTCTATTGTTTTTTTTAAAAAAAAACTTTGTCGAAATCGTTTTATTCGGCTAAAATTTAAAAACTTACATACACACAAGCACAATCCTGAAACAGAAAAAAAAACATTGAAATCAGAAAATACGCAAAATAAGCAAATAAACAAAAGTCCCATCAACAACAAGGTTGTTCAGGTCGATTCAATTCAATTCATTTCATTTGTTTTATTTACCATATCAACAAAATGATGATTGAATTAAGAAATATTTTAATTCTCTCTCTCTCTCTCTCTCTCTCTCTCTCTCTCTCTCTCTCTTAATAGACATAATTATTATCTATATTTGATGGTGATGATGATGATAAATTGAGTTGCTATTTTGCTATTTTGGAATCCATCCTTTTTTTCGTTGATTCAATAATGGATCCATTGTTTTATTTTCATTTGGCTGTATTCAACAAAAACAAACAATTTTTATGATTTGAATGTCAAATTGATTTTGTTTCTTTCGTTGACAATTTTTTTCGTTTTCCACTTCTTTTTTGAAGATGTTTTCAAGAAAGATGTTTCGGAAATCTTTTAATCAATTTACGTTGCTGTTGTGTGTAGGTGTTTCCATGTCTACTTTGATATGTGGAATGCAATGTGGGTGTGCTTATGACTGGTAGCTTTGTTTCTGACTTTTTTGAAGTTTTGAAGTTTGTTTGTTTGGCCGTAGAGAGAGAAGAAGAACAATGGATTTTTCTTTTTATCGTTTTAACTAAACAATGATGATGATGGAACTTTAAAAAATTCAAGGTTCTCATTGTGTGTGTGTGTGTGGATCGAATTTGTTCCCAGAACTTTGCTTGCTTGCTTGGTTTTTGTCTTGAGTTAGTAAAACAAAACAAAAAGTAAAATTAAAAATCAATTTTTAAAACAGGCTAGACAGGGTGATCTTTTTATTTTTAAAGAAAAAAACTAATCGATTTACAAATCATGATTGGTGGTCTTTCTTAATTACAAGTGTTGTTTTTTTTTGGATTCGATCCAGGTAAAAAACGACAACAGGTGGTCGTAATATTCGGTGTATTTTAAGAAAAAAAACTTTCTTGACACTCATCATTTGTTTTTTTTTAAATTTCAAAAAAAAACTTTTTTCATAATTTCAATCTAATTATAGATTGAATGATTTGAATAACTTTTTTTTCTTTTTTTGCTTATCATCATTATCACAATTGATTATGAATTTGTCGTTTGAAAAGAAAAGAAAAGAGAAAATCATTGAAGAAAAATTCAACTTTGAATATCGGATGACGATAAATCACGAATATGATCACGATTTTCATTGACAACTTTCATTTGTGTTTTTCGGAATTTGATGAGAAAATGATTATCATTATTAGGAGAGAGAGAGAGAGAGAGAGAGACACGAGAAGAAAATGTTTCTCGAAATTATCAAAATTCAAAATTCACATTTTGCTCTAATTAATTCAATAAAATGATACAATTTTTCACACTTACTTTTTCTCTCTCACTCTCTCTCTCTCTCACACATTCGATTCTCATTTCGATCGATCGATTGGATCAATCGATTGATTTATTAGCCAATAATGTCTGTCTGTCTGTTGTTACTCTTTGGCGTTTTAAGATCTATTGATTATTGAAATTAGTCAACAACAACAACAACAACAACAACATCGAGACCTTTATGGTTCTACTAATCATTAACAACAACAACAATCAAAAAACAGGATTTTTTTCTTTACCTTTTCGTTACTGAAATACTTTTTTCACTTGTAAATATCTAATGATAATTTCATTGCGTGACTCACGAATCTAACAGAAACAAAAATCCAACTTTGATCACACATTTCACTTCTATAACACTGTGTGTGTGTTTCCAAGTGTGAACTGTGTGTTTGGATGTTTTCACAAATTAAATCTTTGGAACTCAAAGAAACAAATGATAATCACCATCAACAGCGATAATAATGATAATATCGATGACATTAAACAAGGTGAACAAAAAAAAATTCAATATTGACCTTCATTATTAAATTTTTCTCTTGTTGTCGATGATCATCATCATGTTTTCCTTTAAAAAACCTAAAAAGAAGAAGAAAAAGAAGAAAAAAAGTGTTAATTTTTTCTATCAAGAAATTTCCCAAACAACAAAAAAAATTTACGGAAATCCATTTTTCCCATCCATTCGTCCAAGTTACAGTAGCCAAGTAGTTCCTGTCAGAGGATTTTTTTGTTTTGTTCTCCTGTCACTTTAATCCATCCATGAATTTAAATTTCGAAACAAATTCAACCAACCGTTTATCAGTTTCTCTTCTGAATATCTCTGTAATCGATCGATATTCATTTGTTTTGTTTTGGCAATCATACCGGCTTATTTTTTTTACAATCGAAATGAATTTTGGAGACAAATATCGATACGGAATGATAAAAGCGCGGAATTTATTCCATCAAACATTGACAGATAATAATAATGGTGGGCTGAAATTCTTTCTGAATGATTGTTTTTTTTCATTTGCTTTACAGGATGTCTTGATTGTTGTTGTTGTTGTAACCGATTTATTCCACTTCGTTTAACGAATTGAATGTTGTTGTTGTTGTTGTTAAATTTCATTGTTTAAGAAGGGATGTGAATTTTTGAAGAAAGATATATTCGATACACAGAGAGAGACAAATTGTTTCAAATTTCAAATCAACCATGTATGAAAACAAAACAAAAGAAATGAAATATATTTTTTTAACGTTTTGATTATAATAACGGTTTTCACATAACAATTGATTGTTGGTTGTGGGTTATTTTCTTCAATCATTTTTACGTTGTTGTTGTTATTTGGTATTTTGCGACAGATTTTTGTCTTGTTTGTTTGTTTCGGCTGTCTTCACATTATCATCTGACCAACCAGGAATTATCGACACCTCCCTGTTTTCTGATAGAAAAAAATGCCAGATATTTTTTTTTCGGGAAAATCATTGAGGAAAAATATAATTTACCTTTCCACACACACACACTTGAATCAATTGAACTCTTGTGTATGACGGATTCGCTTGAATCAATTATCATGTCAAACTAAAGATCCGGGAGGGATGAAACAAAAAAAATGATAACAAATAACCAGAAGAACAACAGAAAAAAAATCAATTTTTTTTTGTTTCGTTGATTGTTTCGTTGTTTCAATAAATTTAAATAGTTTTTTTTTTTGGTTTTCAAAAAAATTGATTTCGAATGTTTTCAACAATATCGTCAAAAAAAACAACAATCGATATAATCGATATATTTCGTCCATCTAAAAATGTAACAAAAAAAAAGAGTTTTTCGCATCCACCCATTTTTATTGTTTTTGTTTTTGTTGTTGTTGATCATTATCATTCGTGGTAAAAAAACATTGAAATCGTTGATGACTGTTGATGGAACAAAATGATTATCATCAAGTATATCTCGCTACATCTTTATCAAAAACAAGGAGTAATGATGATGATGATGATGATGATGATGAAAAACAATCGAAAAATCGTTCGATATTTCGAACGATTCTTTTTTTTGTTTCAAATTCATTTTGGAAACGAAAAAAAAGATTGAAAGTGTTTTTTGTGTTTCTTGCCACTGATCAATCAATCAATCAATCGATCAATCAATGATTTGTTTGATGATAATTTTTCAACTTTTAACTTTTAATTTTTAATTCTTTGTTGCTGCTGTCATTAATGTTTTCAGAAAAAATGAAAAAAAATGCAACATTTTCCATTAGTTATTATCGTTGGCCATTGGCAGTCCATGGACAAAAAGCTCATCATTGCTGTCTCGTTTCCATTCCAAAAGCTAAACAAAACAATTGAAACAATGCAAAACCGAAAAGAAAAAGTTGCCAAAAAAAATCATAATTGTCCCTTATTTGATGATGATAATGATAATGATGATAATGATTATGACATTGATGAATAATTATATGATGGCCAATAATTTGAATGTATGAATGAATGAATGAATGAATGACATCCATAAATAGATTGATTGGTTGGTTGATCCTCGCTCATCATCGCTCATCGCTCATGTCATTGATCTTTTTGTTTCTATCCTGACAACCATCACTGTTTGCTCAAAACAAAAAATTTAATTTACACATTTAAATTCTATTCACGTAACAGTTGCACACGTGCAACAGCAACAGGTGCACGTGTTGACAGCTTTCAAAAATATCCAAAATATTTTTGTTGTTGTTGTTGATCATACACATCAATCATTCGCACAACAACAACAACAACAAAATTGCTGGCCATATCATTGATAATTTTTAATGATTTTTTTTTTGATTCGGCTACTTTTTTCGGGTTATTAAAGACAACAAAAAGAAATTTATAATTATTGTCAACGATGTTTTTTTTGGTTGGTCAATTCATTGATGCTGATCATCTTCAATCATCATCATGTCATTTATAAGATGACCAAGTATAATATCCAATTATGTTTCATGATGATGATGATGTATAATTATCATTTTACACGAACATCAATGGATGTCTTTTGTTTTTTGTTTGCTTGTTTGTTGATCTCGACAAGTTTCAATTTTCTCTAATAACAACAACAACAGTAACAAATGAACAATGTGACCGAATGACTTTCATCATTTCAATTGATAATGATGATCATTATATGGCCAATTTTATTCAAACGCACATACACACGTTTTTCAAAGATTTCAATGACAATCAACATAAATGAATGAATGAATGACCATAACCCGTGTTTGTTGATCTATTAAGCATCTTCTTCATCATCATTAATTTCATCATATTTGATAATTATCAAATGCGAAAAAAATGATGAAATTAAGGTTAATTCTATTGTATCGCTGTTTTTGTTTTTGTTTTTGTTCATTCATTTTTTCTATTGGATTTTATCTAATTCTCACACTTTTTTTCTTCCTAAATTCCGTTATCGTTGTTTTTGTTTTTTGTTTTTGGAACGTCTTGAATCAAGACTCTCTTGATCAACCTGTTGAGAATTTTTGTTTTTTTTTTGGACGAAATTTTCAACGAAATTTAAAAAAAAACATTGCAAAATTGCTATTTTGGCCGTTTTTTCATATTATAATTATACAATTGAATAATTTAGTAATAGAAGGGAAAGAAGAAAAATTGGATCAAATTACAATGATGATGATGATTTAATTAATTGTTGTTGTTGTTGTTTTCGTTGTTTTTCAGTGGCTGTCGCTTATTCATAGATTTTTTTTTGAACTTAATTTTTCATTAGTATACGACTAACCACTAATCATTTCTTTTTTGTTTTGTTTTTTGTTTTTTCAATTTTCTAATTCAAAAAAAAAAAAAAACATAACAGTATTAAATGTTGCAATTGGTAAAGCTGCAATGCAATCATCAACCGTTGGACAAGGACATGCACAAAAAGCTGTTGATGGTAGTAAGTATCCTTTGTTTTTTTTATAACAAACTTAATAGAATTTCCAAAAAGAAAAGATTAATCAAATTCAATCTATTTTTACTGTTTCTGTTTCACTTTTCTCTTACCTGAAAAAAGGTCCAAGTTCATTTTTTAATCCATCCACCTGTACAATGACTGAAGCTGAACGTTCACCATGGTTTTATGTTAATCTACTTGAACCAGTACTTGTACAATTAGTACGTATTGATTTTGGTGCATCATGTTGTCAAGGTCGACCAGCAACAATTACCGTACGTGTTGGTAATAATCGTCCGGATCTTGGTACAAATCCATTATGTAGAAAATTTACCGGTTTTATTGAAGAAGGACGGCCATTATATTTGCCTTGTACACGACCAATGGCCGGTGCATTTGTATCAATACAATTAGAATCAAATAATGGTAATCAATCACCATTATCAATTTGTGAATTATTTGTCTATACTGATCATGGTAAGTTATTGAATTAATTGAATTGTTTATTGCGTTTTAGATGATGTTTCATTTGATGTATTTGGGTTTGTGTTTTGTTTTGTTTTGTTTTATTCGCCAAAATAGCATTATCAATTGAACAATGTCCAACATTTCGTGATCAACCATTAGGCGGTACATCTACTTATGATGGAAAATGTTATATATTTTATAATGAACATCCATTAAATTTTGAAAATGCAAAAAAATTTTGTGAAGTACGTGGTGGTACTTTAGTTGATGAAACATCACCTGCATTACAAGGTTTTCTTTCTTGGGAACTTTATCGTCGTCATCGTAATGATCCAAATGGTCAATATTGGCTGGGTGCTATACGTGATCAACGTAATCAACAAAATTGGAAATGGATTAATGGAAAAGATGTTTCGATATCATTCTGGAATCTACCAATGACAAGAGAAAATTGTTCAAGATTTGATGGTACAAAAGGATGGCTTTGGTCGGATACAAATTGTCTGATAAAATTAAATTATATGTGTCAACATCGTCCATTAAGTTGTGGTCGTCCTGAACGACCACCAAATTCTACATTAATGATACGTTCAGTTGATGTTGGTCAAACAATTGAATATCATTGTAATGATGGTTCATTATTATTAGGACCAAATATTCGTACTTGTATGTCGAATGGATTCTTTAGTGAATATGCACCTAAATGTAAATGTAAGTATACATATTGAAATCACGAATGAATGAAAAAAAACATGAATTTTTAAAATTTTTAACACTAAACAATCCTCTTCTTCTTCATTTTTGATTTTTTGATAGTCATTATTTTAATGATGATGATGATTATTATGATAATTAAAATCATAACCAAAATTATCATCCATTCCCAGAGTGTTAGATAGATAATAGATAGTTGATAATGTGTGTGAGTAAGTGAGTGAGAGAAGAAATGAATATCATTCATTTTCTAATTTTAACTTTAATTTTGCAAATTTAACTATGACCGATTGTGGTTTTCACTGTTTGTTGTTGTTGTTGGTGGTGTCGATGATAATCTTCATCTTCAAACCACAACAACAACAACAGATAATCATTGAAGCAAAACAACAATAGTAACTGAATATAAAAATAAATAAATTTTTCATTTTCGAAATTGGCCATGATTATTAGATTTTTTTCTTCTTCTTTTTGATTACGAAAACCTACATATCAAAACAAAAACAAAAACTAAAACGAAAAAAATAAAAGTAATATGATCAGCATAAGGGTTATAACCTCGAAACCTATTCTTCTATCCAAAACAATGATGATGATGATAATAGGATTTTCTTTCTTTCTTTCTTTCTTTCTTTTTGGATTTGAAATTATGAATTGAATTTTGTTTTAATGAATTTTCTTTTTCTTTTTTCTTTTCACCCTAATATTTTTATTAAAGTTATTGAATGTGGACCACCACAATCAATTTCAAATGGCCAATATATATTGAATAATAAATCACGTTCATATATGTCAACATTATCATATCAATGTAATGATGGTTTTGTACTTGTTGGTCGTGGTAATCTTATTTGTGATCCGGATGGTCTTTGGAATGGTCCACCACCACGTTGTGAACCGGTATTATGTCCAGATCCACCAATGATTACAAATGGTTTCGGTACATTAGTTTCAAATTCAACACGTTTTGATTCGATTGTTGAATATCAATGTGATCCTGGTTTTGAATTGATTGGTGATAAATTAATACAATGTAATCGTGCCGGTTATTGGGAAGGACAACCCGGTTATTGTATTGGTATGTGTATCATTTTAAACTTTATAATTTGAATAATTTTTTATTTTCAACTTTGATTCATAGAAATTCGATCTTCACCGCTAGATATAGCAACAACAACAACAAGTTCATCAACAACAACAACAACTACGACGACAACAACAACAACAACAACACCTTCACCAACTTATCCACCTACTACTGGATATCCAACAACATTTTATGATTCAAATCCTATTCGTGCTAGTTATCCTGGACAAAATAATCCAATTAAACCACCACAAGTTGCATTATTACCTGTTACCAATAATAATCAACAACAACAACAATCGAATATTTATACAAATAATCCATACAATTCAAAATCATCTGAACAACAATCATTACCATCAATGACAACACCATCAACATCAATTTCATCACATTATCATACTACATCATCATCTATATCGACTGTTGATTTATCATCACCATCAACAACATCAACTACTGGTACAACAATCAATAATAATAATAATCGTAATAAACATATCCATCATCAACATCATACATCTATTCATCAACGACCAAACACGCAGAAACCATCATTGACAAATAATCGTATTTCGGATAATGAAATTCCGGATGGATCATCAAATCCAAGTAAAAATCATTTTCTTGGTAAACCATCAAAAATTGCTGCTGCACGATTAAATATGGGCGGTATTATTGCTTTGGGTATATTTGGTGGATTTGTATTTTTAGCTGCTGTTATCACAATTATTGTGATTATTGTTAGAAGGTAAATTTTTTTGGTTTGTTTGTTTGATAAATTTTAATTTTGATAATTTTATTCAAACATTTATTAGATTTAAACATTCACATAATTCATTGGATGCACAAACAATATCAACATTTGATTCAAGTAATGGTGATAATCCTGGTTTTTATCATAAATATGCATCAGCATGGTCACAATTACAAAGTTCAGCTGTATTACATTCTGGTTCATATAAACCGGCTAATATGGCTAATCGATTAGGTGGTGGTGGTGATGTTCCATATGAACATCATCATGCTTATCTACATACGGCTAATGGTGGTGGTGGTGGCGGTGTTGGTGCTTGTATTGGACCAAGACAACGATCACCAAATGGTGGTGGATCTATTAATGAAGCATTCCGTGATGTTGGACAAGATTCTGATCTTTATACACGTAGTGCTGATCGCCGTAATAATAATCTTAATGGAAGTGGTGGTCCAAAACGTAATGGTAATGAACATGATTGGCATAGGGGAAAATATTGATTGATTTTAATGCAAAAAAAAACCGAATCCAAAAATGTTGAATCCGATTACATCGGAAGAAAAAAAAACCACACTTCTTTTTTTGAAAGAAAAATCCTTTTCCCACCATATAATGATTCGCCCACCTTAATCTTCAGCACCTTTTTTTATATATTCAATCAATCAACACATTTACCACATACCACCATTATCATTTACCTCCTTTAATCTTTTAATTTTATTTACAAAACTCTCTCTGTATAACCCTGTGTATTCGGATATGAATTTCTTTTTCTTTCTTTTTTTCTTCATATTGATTTATTATTATGATTTTATCCACATCCACAACAACACACTTACTTACACTTCATTGAACCCTTTTAAGATTCCCAATTCCTCAGCAAGCAAAACAAACAAACACACTTTACTTTTGTTTTATTTTGATTTTATTTATATTATAAATATATTTTTGGTAATTTTTTTAAGTAAAAAAAAAAGAATTCTTCATTTTTCTCTCTCTGTGTGTGTTTGTGACTTGTGTTTAGATTGAAGAATAAGTTTACATTAAGAATCTAAAAAAAGATTTCATCGACTAACTTTGAAATGATGGTTAGAAACGCGAGTTTATCAAAATTTTAATAAACATCATTCGTTAATAACAAGGTCCGATGTGGTCTAATGGTTAGGATTTCTGGCTTTCACACTTAAAAGTTAATCAACTTGAAGTGAGATGAGCAAGTAAAGTACCCAGGCGGTCCGGGTTCGATTCCCGGCATCGGAGACCATTGTAAATTTGGAAATTTTTTTTTATTTATTTCGACTGAATATTATTCAAAAATTAAAACATTTTATTTATTTAGGAAAAAAATATTTTTTTCAGCTGAAAAACTACAAGAAAAAAGGATGAAAGTAAATATATTATTATCATTGAGAATAAATAGCAAAAAAAAAACTGGCACTTGAGATGAATTAGTTAGTAATAATATAAATATAATAATAGTAATGAAAATGATAGAAAAAAAATGTTATGAAAAAAATGCTGATTTAAAAATTGGTCCACATTAAAATATATCCTTTATGGATAGTTTGTATGGAAAAAAAAGATGATGCGGATGATTGTCTTTGAAATGATTTATTTCGATGATGATGTTTTAGGTTTTGAATTTCACATTCATTAGGCTGCCTCTACATAATTCGATGGTAACATTCCAGTTTCACCTGTACGTTGAACCGTACCGGTCATCCAACCATCATCGATTGGTTGACAATTAACAATAAGATCACCATCAATAAATGTTACTTCATCAACATCCTGTGCAGTATAATCATATATGGCACGAAAACATAGACCAAGATTTTGACGTGTAGGTGGCATTATCGTTGTTTTATTATTATTATTCAATGTTTGTTGTTTCATTTGAGGATGTTGTTGTTGTTGTTGTTGTTGATGATGTGGATGATGACGATATTGTTGATGATTATCGTAATTTGTTACGGCAGCAGTAGTTCCTTTATTTATAAAATAAAATAAAATAAAAACAAACAAATCAATCAAAAACAATTCGGGTTTCTTATTTCTTTATACCTGATGTTGGATAGATGATTTGTGATGGATGATGATGATGATGATGTTCAGTAGCTGCCACACCTTGTTGTTGATGATAATACAATTTCTGTTGCTGTTGAACATTAGGATGAATTTGTTGTTGTTGTTGTTGTGATGTTGGTTGTTTAGCTGGTGAATAATTCTGATGAATATATCCACCACCACCACCACCACCGCTATGCATTGATGGACCATGATGGATCATCATAGGATTTGAAATTGGCTGCTGTTGTTGTTGTTGTTGATAATATCCAGCGGCTGATTGTTGTTGCTGATGATGATTAAGTTGCTGATGTTTTTGTTGCTGTATAGCTGAATCTTTTTTTAGAAGAAAAAAAAAACAACCAATTATCATTATTGATTATTCAGGAAATTTATAAAACTAAAAAAAACTAACCGATAAGCAATTTATTTGGCTGCATAACATTATTATTATTATTATAATACTTATTATTACTGTTTAAATCGTTTGCCATCATTTGATTTCGTTGTTGTTGTTGTTGTTGATGATGCTGATGATTATTATTATTCTTTTGCTGTATCATATGATTTTCTATAATTATCGATTGATTTAATTAAAAATTAATTCATTAAAAAATATTAATTATAATTACCCATCTGAACGGATGGATTTGCCAATGGTGTTCGAACATATTGTTGTTGTTGTTGTTGTGGTGGTATATTTTTTGTATTAACATTATTATGGCTAATATTTGATGATACCGGATTTAGTTGCTGTTGAGTATGTGGCAGATTATTATTCTGAATATTTTGATGATGCTGCTGTTGATTGTGGTGATGTTGATGATGATTGTTATTATTATTATTATTTTGATGTTGAACTGGTGGTGAATACTGCTGTTGTTGTTGTTGTTGTTGTTGAAAGATAGATGTTTGTGTATTAATACTATTATTATTATAAATAATTTGTCCATCACCACCATGTTCATTTAATTGATTACGACGTTCTTCCATTTGTTTCTTTTTTTCATATTCACCATGATATGTAGCATTACTAATAATTTTTGTTGTATTCCGTATACGTAATGTTTCCGGATCATCAGCAATTTGTGTTAATTTTCCTTTTTGTTTTTCAAAATCTTCATGATATTTTATATTACTTTGAATTTTTGTATTTTCAGCTAAACGTTTTGATTCAGGTGTTTCGGCAACAGTTGTTGCACGTGCTTGTGGACAATGTCTAATTTTATTTAAAAAATTATTTATAAATTACAAAAAAAAACGATACAAATAAACAAAACAATACATACGCATTACAATATGGATTTTTATTAAAACCTTTATATGTTTTCATATTCAATATCATACCACATTCATGACATTTGAAACAAGTTTTATGCCATATCTATAGAGAGGGAGAGACAAAATATGGAAAAACATGATTAAAGAAAATTAAAGAATCCGATTCGATAATCAAAAAAAACATACCTTATCCAAACATTTAAGTTCTTCAATTGGATAAACTGTCTTTTGACAACGTGCACAGGCTTTATTGTTGGTCATTTTTGATTTGATTTTCTGGTCAAATTTTGCTTTAATCTCTCTCTGTATGCACCACAAATGCGATTGAATAAATGAAAAAAGTTTTTAAAACTGTAATTTTGATGATTTCAATATGTCAATGTAACTTTGTGACTAAAGTGACCAGAGTGAAATGCGAGAGAAAAACGTGTTGTTGTTGCACAAGATGAAATTGGATTTTGAATTTGATTTTTTTTGTTTTGTTTGCAAACGATGGTCAAACTATGATTGATTTGAATTCATCATCATCATCATGACAGTGTTGTTATGGAATGGATGTATAAAAAAAACAAAGTTTCTGTTTTGTTTTGATTTTTGATTCATTCATTCATTCGATTGATTGATTGATTGATTGATCGATTATCGTTTGTGTAAAAATAATAAATTTTTACTATGATGATGATGATGAAATAGTTTGCCCGAAAATGAAAATAATCGTTGTTATTGGTGGGCTATCTTTGATGGTGATCTTTTTGTTGATTATATGGATCGGATTTTTTTTTATTTCACTAAAAAAACCGAAAAAAATCCAAATGATTTATGATTCGACAGGTTTTTCCCCGTTTTAAACGATGATTATCGTTTTTTTTTTCATCCGACAACGACGACGATAATGATGATAAGAATCAAATTTAAAAAAATATTTTGTTTTCAATCGGTTGAAATTAAATAAAAACAACAACAAGAAAATCGTTGAATGCAATGCAATGAAATGAGAGAAATCGAACGGAGCGAAAATAAACAGAGTAAAATAGTTTTTTTTTTCATTCAGTCATCAAACTTTTCAAACACATACAATTTTGAAATCGTCATCATTATCATCATCATCCGAAAAACAACCACCACCACCATTGATATACATTCCGGATTCAAGAGAGAAGCAGAGATAAACAGAAAAAAAAGAAAAAACTTGATGATGATGAGTTTTTTCTTCTTTCCAAACAACAACAACAACAACAACAATTGGGTTGTACCATCATCACATTCTTTTCCATCTTTAATTTTTTTTTAATATAAAAGTAATGGTTATAGTGCCCTCTGGTATCATTTTTTGATAGTTTTTTTTTGTTAAAAAAAGAAATTCGAAAACCGAATGGGTTCGGATTTCGAAGATCGACTTTGATATGGACTTTGGACCAAAATGATCGCTGATGGTGAACTATTGTTGAGTGTCAAAACAAGATGATGAATGGATGGATGGATTCTGGTTGAATAGAAAAATCCGTTAATTTTATCTTCGAAATGAACTTTAACCTTTTGTCGTTGTTGATGAGAAATGGAAACAAAATTAGAATGAATTTACAACTGAAGAACAGAACTGTCATTTTTTTTTCTTTGGAAAACATTTTCTATAAATAACATCCGTTCAAGTTGCGATTCTTTTGCCATATGCCAAAACGATGATGGTAATGGTCACGCATTACAAGAACCATCAACAACTGAAAAAAACCTTTTTTGGTTTTTGCGTTCGAATCACACATAATGAATATGATTAGAAAATGTTTGCTATTTTAAACACATTAATTGTCTATGGGGTTTTTTTTTTGTTGAAAAAATAATGATTTTTAATCCATTTTGGTTTTAAAAATGTCAATGAAACAAAAAAAAATGTTTAAAAAGCATCTTCTATATAATCGTTGACAATTTGAGAAAATGAAAATCATATTTTTTTTCGATTTGAAAATTTTTTTTGTTGTTGTTGTTGAAATTATCCAAATTATTGAATGCTTGAAGCATTTGAAGCAATTTTTGGCCATAAATCAGCACATTCTTTAGCCACTGGACCAGTAATAGCCGAACCTTTCATTTCACCTTTATTGTTAACAATGACGCCGGCATTATCTTCAAAATAGATGAAAACACCATCCTTCCTGCGGAATGGTTTACGCTGACGAATAACAACGGCTGGCATAACCTTTTTACGTAATTCAGGTTTACCTTTTTTTATCGTTGCAACAAACATATCGCCAGCACCAGCAGCAGGTAAACGATTCAAACGACCTTTGATACCATTTACAGCTATTACGAATAAATTCTTTGCTCCAGTATTATCGGCACAATTCATAACAGCACCAACAGGTAAACCAAGTGAAATACGAAACTTGGCACCGGCTGTACCACCACGACCTTTTTTTACGAAAAAAAAACAAGCGAGAACGAAAATTTTAAATAAAGATTCATTTTGGAATTTAGAAGGAATTCAATTCCAATAATTAAAAAAACAAACCTCGCTTGGACATTTTGAAGAATTAGAAACAAACAAAAAAATTTGATTTGAAACAACGAGCAAAAAACAAAAAACAACACTGCAGCCAAACACCAAAAGAAAAGGAAGTTCGAACGAAAAAAAGCAACGTGTGTGTGTGCGTGCGCATGACACTCAACGAACACTCAACGTGTGTTGAAAGAGAGAATACCATTCATATAAACAAGTACAGCAATCGAGTAATGCCATCTTTGGATTTTATTTTCAATTAAAATTTAAAAATAAAAAAACAAAAAAATTAAATTTTTTCCAAATCATAATGTGGAAGAATAATTTTAAAATTAACTAAATGTACAAAAAATTGTAATCGTATAGAATGATTATTATGAATTTCACAAATACCATCGGTTGGTTGTAATATTGAAATGTATGAAATTAATTCATTCAATTTTCGAATATCAACAAAAACTTTATTCGATTGATTTGATTGATCTGTTGTTGTTGTTGTTGAGTATCCATTTGTAATTGAAAGTTTATCATAACGACAAGATAATTGTAATGAATCAATAATAGATGTCATTGTTAATTTTGCTTTTAAAATATTTTCATCATCATCATTATTTTGATACATTTTGGCCGATATTCGTATAAAATTTGAACAATCATTCAGTTTTGCAATATCATTTGCAAATAATTTAAATGTTGGTAAATTTAATGATATTTGTGCTTGATTCATTGATGAATATTCATCATCATATAATGACCATGATTGTTGATTAATAACCGAAATAAATAATTGATTATTAATTGTTTGATGTTCGGTTTCATCGGCTGATGGATTTTCAGTTGTAAATCTTAATACTGGTTTTTGTTGATTATTTGTTGTTAATTTAATTTTCATTAAACGAATATTCAAATGAATTGTATTGATTATATTGATTATTGAATCGGAACGAACATAAAAATAAATGAAATTATTATCATCATTTAATCCTTTGAATGAATAATTATCAAATAATAATGAACGATTCAATATACAACGAATCGATATTGGATTCATTGGTGTTAATGTATCCGGAATTAATTGTATAGAATCCGAATCTATACGAAATATAAGTGAATTGGATAGTTTAGCTGTAGCCATTATTGATCGTTTAATCGTATTGATTGCTTCATAACGTCGGGTAATTACACGAAATTTCATTGTTTGTTTTTTTTTTGCCAATCGAATCAATCTTCAAACCAAAACAAACAAAACTATGGCGCGAAACAACAACAACAACAATGAAAAAAAAGAAGCTCGTTCGACTTATCGAACATTGTCACTAGATGTCGACATCATCTTTTTCTTCTTTTTCAAAGTTTTCGTTTTTATTTTATTTTTTTTTGTTGAAAAAATATAAGAAAACAAATTAAAATTTACTAAACAGTGTTGAAAAAACATTTAGATAGTAACATGGAAATCTTAAAAAGTTGTACTTTGGCCGTATAGGGTATCATCGAGAAAAAAGCAAAAACAAAAACAAAACAAAACAAAACAAAAAACAGTGGACAATAGGACAGTGGTCATAGATTGATTATAATAACCATGATGATTAATAAATTTGTTATCGAACACAGAACGAAACAAATATAACAATGAATTTTTTGTGACTAGAATGGAAATAAAACAAAAAAAATGGCTGACATAAGAATAGATAGCGATAACAATTGTAATCCCGAATCGTAGATTGATGATTGATGATGATAAACAAAATGGTAATCGACTAGACCTTGATGATGATGATGATATCGATAATGAATATTCAATAAATAAAATGATGAAAATGATGTTATTATTGTTGTTGTTGTTGTTGAAATTGACTAGTATAATTTGAATGAAAACGATTACAAATATGAGGCCGTACATCTTCATTCTAATGGGGGGAAGAAAATAAAAATGGGTAAAAATATTTAGCCAAACTGGTGAAAAAAATGAATGAATGTTACCTGTGTAATGAGATCCTCTAAAAATGGTATTAATTTCAATAGTTCATTATCATTTTTATCCATAAACCATGATTCAATTGGTATTCCATTTTCCAGCTTAAAAAAAACAAGCAAATTAGATTAATATTAAACATTCAAACAATTTGAAATTTTTTTTTCACCTGATAACCGAATGCTTGTGGTGAATTATCAATGATGATCGTTTTGGATAAATCACGACCCAATATTGTTAAATCTTTTATATAATTACCACTAACACAAACACAATGTTCCCTGAATAAACGATACTTGACAAGTTTACGATTTGGATCCAATAAATTCAACAATTTATCAGCATAAACTTTTTTCGATGCAGTAAATAAAATAACTTCAAACATACGTGAAACATGTTCAAGAAATTCTTTAAAAAAAGGCCTAGTACGAACATATATCATATATTCACATTCTTGAAATGTAACTGGAAATGAAAATGTTGCATCATCCAATTTAGTTAATGAACAATGAACAAGAGTTTCATCAAGATCAAGTACCAAGGTAAATTCTGGTGAGCTACGTGTTTTTAAAGGCAATACCGGACAACGTTGTGGTTGCATGTCCGGTGTTAAAGGCGGTAAATTACGAATAAAATAATATGGATCAAGAAATTGTTCCAATTCTTCATTTGTTATCAATGTTGTTGTTGTTGTTGTTGACGAAGAATTCTCCATCGATGATGGTGAAGATGATCCCGATTCTGATTCTGATGATCCTGATGATGATGATGGTATGGCTATGTATGATGATGGTGGATTAGAATGTGTTATCATTGTTGATATTTGTGTTTTTGGACTATACGAATGTATGATAAATGATGATGATGATGATGATTTTGATGTTCCATTTGTAGTTTTTGATGGAATTATATCTGTACAATCATTTGTAGAATTCTGTAATGGTGATGATGATGATGATGATGATTTAATTTCATTAATTTCATTAATCGAATGATCTGGAATTTGAAAAGATTCATTACAAGTTAATAATGATGATGGTGATGAAGAACATTCAACACCGGAATTCGAAATCATTTTCATATCGATCATTTCGTCCATCACTATCGATGATGATGATGATGGATTTTGACGTTCGATTTCTTTGTCAATTTTCATTTGATTTGTCATTTTTATTCTTAATGTTTTTCTTTTCTTTTTTAATGATAATTTTTTTCTTCGACATTTTCTTATCGTACGATGATTATCAATATTTTTGTTATTATTGATAGTTGTTGTTGTTGTATGGATGGCAGCTTCGATAATTCGTTGGCCACTATGGCAGCGATTTTTTTTCAATGTTAATATTGTTGAACATTTTTTAACATTATTATGTTTCGGTAAATATTTTAATAATGACTGTTGTTTACGATGATGATGATGATAATGATTTATATCAACACCATCAATATTGATATTGTTTTTATTATTCGTCATCATTTTATTTCGGCTATTGGCCATGTTGTTGTTGTTATTGTTTTTATTATCAACAATAATTTTGAACAATATTTGTTTATAATTATTATTATGATTATTTCGATTATAATGATGATGATGATAATAATAATGTTGATGATGGCCAACATATCGATTTATTCTCGACATTGATATTGGCGATGATACATTCGAATATTGTTCTTCATGTTCAACAATGACGGATATTGATGACGACATTGACAATTATTCATATATCAATTATTGATAAATCTTATCAAAATATTATTGATCACCATCATCATCATTTTTACATCATTTCACATTCTCAATCAATTCATTTCTGCTGTATTCGAATCAAATTTTTCAATTTCAGGAAGAAAAAAACAACAAAATTCTTTTTTTGTTGCTTTTTCTTCAATCAAAATAATTATATAGAATAAATGATGGAATGTCCAAAGATGTTTGATGTTGTGGCGGTAATAGCAGCTGATAAAAGAAGAAGAATGTAAGTAAAAAAAAAATATTTCGAATTTCGGTGGGAGTAAGAATAACTTTAGTCGCCATCATTTTTGGTGGTTGAATCTTTTCCTTTATTTAATATGTATTATATTTAATGATGAATCCAAAACACAGAAAAAGTCTATATACATTCTGTTCTCTGGTTATTGATGAGCGCCTGAATCTATTCGACGACGATGACGCCGAAAATGTATCTACAAAAAACCCGAATTAGATATTACCACCACCACCACCACCGAATATTATCAATATACCTTAAATACCATCGGGGGTATACATGCGCTGAATGAATAAAAATCGACTAAATCTTTTTTTTGGCGCCCATCTCTAACTTCTCAGATTATTCTGGTGTGTAGGTAGATTTATCTAAATATTTTCTATTAGAAATGCTTTGCAGAATTTATTTATTCATTTTTTCCGGGAAATTGAACTGATGATAATCAAGTTCAACGAACGGTACATGTTTTAAAGTTTTCAATTTTTTTTTAATTTTAAATAGGACAAGGACAAAAATTGGACGCGTGTTTGTCGCTATTTTGGAACGTGTCTCTGCATTTTATTATTGTTGATGATGATGATGATCAACAGGCAAACAACAAAAGAAAAAAAAAACTTTTGTTACTTTAGGAAAATGGAACAGATGTGTATATGGGGTTTATATGGATAATCAAACTAAATCAGCCAGCTGTTTTAATGATTGGCCAAACAAAAAAAAGGCTAGGTCATTTTGAAAATTTCCTTACTTGCTTTAAATCTACAAGTTACGGTTGACATGATTTGTTGATTCGAGCCATCAATGAGCCACCACCAACCACCCTGTCTAAAAAAAAAATCTCCAACAACTAACCCCGTGTTCTTTCTTTTCACTTTTATATTCACACATACACCACCGATCATTGACGCGAAGTAAAAAAAAAATTATCATGATCAGAGGGGGAAAGAGAGGAAGAACCATAACAACCATCCACCCTGCTAATCATCATTAAATATATCCACAAAAAAAAAGACATCTGTTCATCATGGTTTTTATTTTATTGTCAAATGTGCATTATGCTATACGACCTATGACCTCGAATTATCAACAGCCAAAAAAAAAGCTAAGAAGCAACAAATGGTGGTGGTGGCTCGACAATTTTATCAAATTTCAATGGATTTCAACACAAACAAAGACGCCCAATACTCTTTACGCAAATGATATTCTTCCTTATTTATTTTACAACAAAAAAAAAGAAAATCTCCAATCGCTGGATTTACACAGAAAAAATTGTCTATGTTTGATTTAGGAAGAAAAATCATATCGAAAAATTGATAAAACCCTTTCATTTTTGGTTGATTGATTGGTTGTTAATCGGAAATCCGAGAAAACAGAAAAAACTTAAACTCATTTTCCAAGTTTTATGATCTTTTGCTATATTTGATGTCCGTAGAAAGAAAGAAAAATCGTCTTGAATTACCCCATTGGTTTTGGTGCATCCTGTACAATTTTTTTTTTCGTTGTTATTTGATGATGTGAAATGTTTTTTTGGCACGGACGAACGCGCACTGTGTATCTGTTGTTGGTATGGAAATTCATTATTATCATTGTAACAACCAACCAATTTTTCTCTTCAACAAACAGCTTTAAACATCAATTTTTTTTCTGTCCATTCAACCATTTTGTTGATTACCATGTTGAAAATTCAGAAATGAAATATAGAAAAAGTGAATCCAAAAATACTCACACACACATCAAGCCAAGCCAATTTCATCGAGAAAGACCGCCAGCTTTTTTTTTTGTTCCGAAAAAGCAAAATATCAACAGTTGCAAACAACTTGCTTGGCAAGGACGTGGGTAGAAAGATTTCATTCATTCAATCATTTGACATTTGTACGATTGGTTTGTTGGTGTGTGTGTTGGTATTATTCGATCTCTCTCGCGCGCGCGTTTTTTTTTCTTCAACGTTTTTTCTGGTTACTTTTGTGTGTGACATGGTTATATAAGAAATTATCATTGTGTTTTGGGTTAAGAATTTTGATTCAAAAAGAAAAAAAATCATGAAACTTTTATCACCAACAACAACTGTTGATTGTCGACAAAGTTTAATTGTACCGACATCTAAAATGGCTAAAATTTCTGTTCAAAAAATGAATCAAAATTCTATTGATAATAATAATGTTGTTGTTTCTGCTGATGATGATAATAATCATATTGTAATCGAAAGAAAAAAATCAAAATCAAAATCATCCGAAATAATTGAAGTAAATTTCTGCTATACAGCATTAATATCAATGTGTTTAGGTTTCTTGTTTATTTGGTCATCAGTTATATCATTAATATTTATTGTAAATAAAATTGATGAAACACGTTTTATGCAAAAACCATTGGATATTTTTATTGAACAAGAACAAATTGGTCGTGTTATGTTTTCGGTTGGTCAAGAGATGTGTAAGTTTTTTGTTTGTTTTCATTTGGATGTTTACCAAAAAATTTAAACAATTTTTTTCCAATCAACCACAGTATTCACTGTTGATTCATTAGTTTCAATTCATCTGAATCTATCCGATCCGCAAGAACTTTCAAAATCAGTAAATTTTACCTGGGATCTTACCGATGATGATATTGAAGATGTTAAAGTACAAATTGAAAATGAAAATTCAATCAACAACAATGATAATGATCTAGCTAAAATGATTGATTCAATTGAAACAAAATTAGAAACAATTCGTTCAAATTTATCATTATCAACTGATCATCCATTAACAATGATTAATTCATATAAATTAATATTCGATATTGCTGAACAATATTCATTGGAGAGGAAATTTTATCAAACACCAATGATGAAACATGATAATCAATGGCATCTAATCAAATCATTTGCACAGATACAAAATTCCCCATATTCATTATTCATCAAAGGAATGAATCGTCGTTTTATTGAATTAGCATATGGTACTATTTATCATATTGGACCACAATTATTAAATCGTACGGATGCCGAAACTGAAGTTGCAAATTATTTTTATTATTTTTATAGTAGCCATGAATTGATTGAAAATGCATTCGCTTGGGATTCACGTATCTATCATCATTATATGGAATTATTACGTAGTAAACAATATCGTTCATTACAATCCATTTCGAATCAAAATTATCGTTTAAATGGTCGTGAATATACTAGATTTGTAACCGATGTTGTTGCATATTTATTACGTGCTAAAGATGTTTTAAATGTTGGTATTAAAGAAATATTAATCAATATTACTGATCATAATTCAACACAATTTTATGCTATTATATCATGTATCTATCTATTTGTATTGATATTATGTTCAACATTTTTTATATTATTCATACGTAATGCTAAAATCAAAGATGAATCATTAGTTACAATTAATAATTGTTGTTTATCAACAATGATTAATGATCGATGTAACAATTCTATTGATTCAGAACATCTTGTTGATAATCAACAACAACAACAAAGCCAACCAATTTATCAACAGGTTCCGTTGTGTTTGAATCAACAACAAAAATTACCACCATATTATGAATATATCGATACAATTAGTGGTCAAATTGATTCGTATCGACAAATTCAACAATTATCACGATAAAAAAGAAGAAGAAGAAAAATTATTTACAACAAATCTTAAATACCTATTTATTTTTAAAAATACATGTAAAAATGTGTGTGTGTGTGATATTCATCTATGGCTATAGCCATCAAAAGTCAATTTTTCATTTTTATTTTTACAAATTTTTTTTCAAAAATATTTTTTTTTTAAATCTATTTTGTATTATATTTACACAAGAAACTAATTATTATCCAAGAAACAAAAAATAAATAACTTTTTTTGAATGCAACATATTTATCGGTCTATTTTAATGATGTTTCTTCGGGTTTATTTTCTTTGGTTTTTTGAGCAATTTGTTGTTGTTTATGTTGATTATTAAAACATTCAATTTTTAATCGATCAAAATTTTCATCAATATCATCTTCAAGTATTAATTGATCAAGTATTTTATTGTCAAATATTGTTTCATCATGATTCATTTGGTTGATTGGATAATTTTGTCCATCAATGTTGATCGATTCGGTATCAGGTTTTGTTTGATCAATTCTATCATCATCATCATCATCATTATGAACATATCCATCCGTTGGTGATAATCTTTGTTCATAGATTTTATTATTCAATTCTTCCAATCGTTTTAATGCTTTTGTATAATTTTGTTTAGCTTTATTAACACGTGTTTCGTATGAACGAATTTTCATTATCTGTTCTTCAAGCATCTGATTAAATTGTGCTTTCATCTCGAAATATGGCCTATTTAATCATGATAAAATGACAATATCGTTAATAATGATTATGTAAAATAGGAAAAAAAGGATTAAGTTTCGAAAAGATGGGCGAAAATTAAATGAAAAAAAACTAAAACAAAATAAAATAATAATAAAAAACTTACAACAATTGCAATCGATGTTGATTAGCATAATTATTAAGCTCAAGAAAATTACGTCTAGTTTCCATACTTGTGGTTAAAATAAATAAATAAAGAATTTTGGAAATGAAAAAAAAAACGAAAAAAAATCAAAATAAAACGAAAAAATAAAAAACCAAAATCAAAATAAAATAAACAAAATCAAATGGGGAAATGTTTTTCCTTTCGATTCAAATCGAATCAGATTCATATAATGATCATACCTGGCTTTAACAATCGAACGTTTTAATTGATTATGTAATTTGGATAAATTTTGTTCCGTAATAGAATATTCACGTGATGTAATAAGATGTTGTTTTTCTGCTGCTTGTCTTTCCGATTCAGATTGATTAACTTTTTCAGCTGATTTGGTTAATAATTGTTCCAATTCAATATCACTATTTTGTTGTATTGTTTGTTCGGCTAATTGTACAATTTCTTTTGCATTATTATGTTCAATTGTTGCCTGTTCATAACGTAGCGCTTCTTTTTGTGCTTTTTGATGTAATTCATTTGCAATTTGACGTGTTTCATAATATGGTCTTGCTTTATTGATTGATGTACCTAATTTTTTTGATAATGATTCAATTTTAACAGCTGATTCGGTTAAAAGATTATTAAATTCAAGACGAGCTTTCTATTTATTGAATTTTTTTTAAAAAATAATGATTAGAAAAACAAAATACTTCAAAACAAACACAAAAAATTACCTCTAATTCCAATTCTAATTTATTGATAAATTCAGTGGAGGTATTTAAATTTTCCAATTCAACTTGAACACGAGGATCAGGATCCATATCTACATTATTTAATTTTTCAATTATTATCGATGATGATTTTGGAATAGTCGTCGCTGCTTTTGAAGCCGATGATGATGATGATGATTTGATATCATAATCATTGAGATCATACATATTTTGTTGATTAACTGATTTTTTTTCGGGAGAAAAAACAAACAAATTTAGAACAAACAACAAACAAACGAACGAAATGAATTATTGAATGTCCATAAATGGTAATCTACATATGGACAATGTCTGTCGAATGTTTGTTTGATTATTAGACGATAAAGTAATGTTGTTGATAGATGGATTCGAAATATATGCTGATGAAGAAGAAATCGAGAAAGAGAAAAAAAAATATTTGATGTATGTGGACACAAACTATCCTCGACCTTTTTGTCGAACCACGAAAACAACATTTGCTATCAATATTTTACGATGAAACGAAAAAAACAAAACAAAACAAAACTCGCAAAAAATATAACGGGACTAAGCGCATGTGCGTTATGAATAAGAAAAATTTTTTGGTTTTTCATTTTTTTTTTAATTCAGAAAAAAAAACATAAAAATAAAAACAAAAACAAAGAGAAATTGAGAAAGAAAAACAAAATTAAATCGAAAAAAAAGGTGATGTAGATTTTGTAAATGTGTGGATTAAATGGTTAATAATACTGTGTTTTACAAATAAAAATTCACATTATTTTTTTTTTGTTGAATTCTACACACAAATGGCAATGTCCAAAGTGAATTATTGAATTTCTTTTTTTTTTGATCGTTTATCAAGGAAGAACAAGAATTTGATGGATGCATATGAGTCATATATGGAGAAGAAAAAATCATCGAAATTCGTATCATTCGAATCATCATTATTCATATGTAAAATAAACGTACACGTGTAGTCGATACCAATAGATCATCATCATAGAATTTTGTTTCAATTATTACATTACCGCTATAAATTTTAGTGAAGAAAAAAAATAATGAAAATTTTAATCATGGAAAACAACTAAAGAACCCCATACTTAAGAACATTTGCCGGCATCATTTGTGATTCAGGTGCAGCTTCAATCAATGATTGCCATGTATTTGTTGAATTGGCCATAACATAGCCAAATTCGAAAAACCATTCTGTTTATATTGATTTTTTTTGAACAAAAAAAGAAAATTGATTTGATTCTAATGAAACCAGCAAAACACATCATTGAGATTGTTATTGTTTATACAAACCTTCAAGACATCTTCCTTTAAAAAATACACGTTGTTCTAAACGAAATTTTTCAATCGATTCGGCTGATGTAAAATTTATTTCACGTGATACTGCACGACATTTTAATATTGATTTTGGTACATGAGCTTCATGTTCTTTATCTGGTTTTGATCTATAGAAATTAAAAACATTGGATTAAATCTAAACAAATCAAAATCAAAATAAATCAAATTTTTTCATACAAATCAGTATTGCCTTCCCAGAATATATCACCACTATCAGCATCACGAAGATTCATCCAATTTCTAAAATTTTAAACAACAATAAAAAACAAAACATGAAAAAAATTCAACAAAACAATTCTTACAATTTAAATCCTGTAAGAATATTCTCTGCTCGTGATGGCATGTTGTTGAAAGAATATGTTCTTTCTTTTTTTGTTTACTTTTTTAAATAAATCGAAATCAACAACCAAAAACAATAGAAAATAGAGCAATGAATTTTATGTAAAAAAATTTTTCAATTTAGTCAATTATTAATTATTGAATATTCGTTTTGCTTTTATAATCATGACACATTGTTTTGTTTTGGATCGTATTTTCTTTCGGTTTGTTTTGTTGTTGTTGTTGACAATCGTTTCAATATATAGCTTTTGAACATTATAATCATCAATCAATCAATAATAATCTAAATGAAGAAAAAAAAAATAGGAAACATTAAAAAAATAAGAGCAACCTTTTCTTTCAAAATATAATCTATATAATAATCAAGATCATCATCATCATCATATATAATCATCGAGAAAAAAATGTCTATTTTAACATTTTCAATACAAATTTTGTCAAAATGGACAAATGATTTGAAAACATTTGGGCGCGTGTTCGGAAGCAGTGAGAAAAATATTATTTTCCCATTCAATGCAGATTCATCCAATGATCTTCAGAATCAAACTTTTAATTTATTGTTTTTCCTTGTTGAAGATATGAAAAAAAACGGGAAGCCATTGCGAAAATAATAACAAAATGATGGACGAATTAAAAAATATTGATGCTAATTTAAAAAAAAATATCCACACACGCCATCTAATGGCATGCAAACAAACAATAAAACATTACATAAAAATCGTATCCTTATTATCATTTTGTTCGATCCTTTGATATTTTTCCATTATCATCATCATCATTAACATTCACGTAATTATCATTATTTAAATCAAATCAATTTCAAGGTGGTTAATGATGATGATGATGGCCAGGGAGATAATAATATTTTCTTCATTTTCTGCTTTTTTAAAAAAACTTTGCTATTTTTGTCGATCCATCGAATCGGTACAGATTTTTCTTTTCAAGTTTGAAAATCTTACCCTAAAATAAAACGAAAAACAAAAAACAAAAATGAAAAGTTAAAGAGAAAACCTGATTCAAGGTTTTTCCATCACATCGAAAAAAAAACAAAAAACAAAAATAGGAAGAAATGGGTTAAATTTGAAATGAAATGAAATTCTCTCTCACTTGTATAATCTTTTGATTTTCAATCAATCATTGATCATCATTTGGATTCAAAAAAGCTGAATTATTTTCTTCTTATGGATGATGATGATAATCCATAAAATGGTTACATGACATACATGAATTTACTGTTATCCCATCCTATCCTTTTCATATTTTTATTGATGATAATTTATTCGTAATTTCTTTTTTCTTTACATCATGTTTGTTTTCTCTCGTTATTTTGTTTTTGGTGTGATTTTGCAAAGACAAACCTGAACAAAGAAATTATGCAGAAAAAAAAAATTTAGAAAACATTTTCTCATTTTTTTTATATCACTTACCATTCAAGTTAATTCGGGCAAGATTTTTCAATGTTTTTTCTTTCTCTTTTTCACTTACTATCTCTTCATTTGTCTTATCTTTTTTCATCATCTTGAAGTGGTCGTTTTTTTTATGGTTTTTGTTCCTTTTTTTTTCTTCTTTCTCTTCTTTTTTTTCGTTCCAGAATGGAATAAATTGTCCATGGTGATGGTCTTCTATATTTGAATTGAAAAAAAATATATTTTCTCTTTATATTTGGAGGTTTTTTCTTCTTCTTCTTCTTCTTGATTTGTTTGCCGATTATTATTGTTATTATTATGGCCAAAGCCGGTTTCAAAATTGTTGTTTATTATGCACACACACAAACAGAGATACAGAGAGAGAGATTTTGCTTTTTTTGGATTTATCAAGGACTTGTAGACTTTTTTAATGTAGATCCATTATCAATTTCGATTTTTTGTTTTCTTGTTTCGTTTATTTTCGATATATATTTTCTTTTGAAAAAAAAGAGAGGGATGGGGGGATGAAGAAGACGAAAAAAAAAGAAGAACTTGAGTGGCACAGTTATTACATCAAACACACAAAGGTGTGTTTGTCGATCATCATCATCAGTCCTTATAATCATTATCAATCGACAGTGTCCACGTCCGCATCTTGTGATCGAAGCGGATCGATCCAACAACATTGAAAGATTGAAGATTTTTTTGAAAATAATTTTTTTTCTTTGGTTCAATATTATCGGGTGATCTCTGATTTTTTTTTTTGCTTTCAACATCTCATTCAAATATTTGTTGCCAAAGAACTAAGAAAATACGAACTTACTAAACAGAAAATGAAATCATCATCATCATTATCAATATTACAAATTTTAATATTTACCATCATCATTCTAGCGACATACGGTATGTATAAACGACGTTTTTTAATTGAAAACCTGTGTTGGGAAATCATAAATCACAATTATATCACTTTATGATCATCATTTTGTCATTGAATCAGATAATTTTTCCCCAAAAAAACAAGGATGTTTCGTTAGAATTTCACAAAAAGAAATATTGAAATGAATCTCTTTGATGGACAGACAAAAATCGAATGTTTGTGAAAATTGTTGTTGTTGTTGTTACATTAAGATAATGACGCCTGTCATATAGGACGTGTTCCGATTGTTAATGTTATTATTATTTTCTTTTCTTTTTTTGCAAGGAAAAAACTTTTCAATTCGATTTATTTTAGATGAAAATGAAAATTTTAATTAAGTTTTTTTCTTCTGTCTGTCTGTTTTGAATTTTCATTAATGATATGACGGAAAGCATCAGTTTCTTTTTCTATCATCACGACAAACTTTTTTTTCCCGAAACAAATCTCGATGGTGAAATAAATAAAAAAAATAGATGAAAACTAGGTCAATTTGTTTTTTTTTGCATTGAAAATGAAATTCAAAATTGTGATTCAAATTGAAAAAATGAAAATCCGTCCATGTAGAGAATCACGGTATTTTTTTGTTTGTTGTTGATGTTGTTGTCAAACTGTTCGATCGAGTTTTTTTTTTCAACAGGGAAAAGTTTCGGAAAACATACTCATCAACAGAAAAGAAAGTTTTCGAGAAAAAAAATGACCATTTCCGAAAATAATAATAACATTTTTCATCATAATCTCTTTTGATAATGTTTCAATGTGATTAGAATGCTTAATTAATTAATCTTTTTTTTTTAATTTCCATATTTTATCCACTATCGACTTTGACCTTGTTTTTTCCCCCACCATGCTCCAAAATAATCATACAGTTGAATCAGTATCAATCGTCAAACGACAAGCTGATGAAAATGATGCCGAATTATGTAAAGGACGACCAGCAAGTGAATATTTTCGTCTTACAGCTGATGAAGATTGTCGTGATGTTGTACGTTGTTCAGTACAAGGTTTATTAGCATTACGTTGTCCATCTGGTTTAGCATTCGATATTGATAAACAAACATGTGATTGGAAATCAAATGTTAAAAATTGTCAACAATTAGAAAGTTTGTATTCATTTTTTTTTTCATTCAAATTTCGTCATTGTTTTAATCAAATGATTGATTGATTGATTGATTTAGAACCACGATTAGTTGCACCATTATTAGCAACGGATGAACCAATCTGTGAAACAGGAAAATTAGCCTGCGGTAGTGGTGATTGTATAAATAAAGAATTATTCTGTAATGGTGAACCAGATTGTGCTGATGGTTCGGATGAAAATGCATGTAGTAAGTTTTTTGTTTCTCCAAAAAAATTATTTTCATTGAAATTTCCCAATTCAAAATTGATAAAATTCTTCTTTCATTCTTTCTGTTTCATTTACCTAATTAGCTGTTGAAAAAGATCCAAATCGTGCACCAGCATGCGATCAAACACAATGTGTATTACCGGATTGTTTTTGTTCACCGGATGGTACACAAATACCGGGGAAATTAGAACCAACACAAGTACCACAAATGATTATGATTACATTTGATGATGCAATCAATAATAATAATATTGATATTTATGATAAAATATTTAAAGAAGGTCGTAATAATCCAAATGGTTGTTCAATAAAAGGTACATTTTTTATTTCACATAAATATACCAATTATTCGGCTGTACAGGAAATGCATCGTCGTGGACATGAAATTGCAGCACATTCAATAACGTGAGTGTTAAATATTTTTTTCTCGCTTGGTTTCCGATTTGTTGATTAATGATTTTGTTTCGTTACCTGCAAATATATAGACATAATGCAAATGAAAAATATTGGAGTGAAGCATCAACTGAAACATGGGCCAAAGAAATGGCTGGTGTACGATTAATAATTGAACGTTTTGCAAATATAACTGATAATTCAATTGTTGGTGTACGTGCACCATATTTACGTGTTGGTGGTAATAATCAATTTTTTATGATGGAAGAACAAGCATTTTTATATGATTCAACAATAACAGCACCATTAAGTAATCCACCATTATGGCCATATACATTATATTTTCGTATGCCACATAAATGTCATGGTAATGGACAAAATTGTCCAACACGTTCGCATGCTGTTTGGGAAATGGTTATGAATGAATTGGATCGTCGTGATGATCCAAATTTTGATGAAGAATTATCTGGCTGTTCAATGGTTGATAGTTGTGCAAATATTATAACTGGTGATCAATTTTATAATTTTTTAAATCATAATTTTGATCGTCATTATAAAACAAATCGTGCACCATTAGGTGTATTTTTTCATGCCAGTTGGTTAAAATTAAATCCAGAATATTTAGATGCATTTGTACAATGGATTGATGAAGTATTAGATAAAAATGATGTTTATTTTGTTACAATGACACAAGTATTACAATGGATGCAACAACCAACACAAATGAATACAATAAGAGAATTTTCACCATGGAAAGAAAAATGTGAAGTTAGAGGACAACCATATTGTAATCTACAAAATGCATGTGCATTATCAACACGTGAATTACCTGGGGAAACTGTTCGTTTACATACTTGTGCTGAATGTCCACAAAATTATCCTTGGTTAGAAGATCCAACTGGTGATTATTTTGCATTTTAAATTTCAATTTTGTAACGAAGTTATGAAAAAAAAAATTTATCATTTATTCGAATCTTTATTATTTTGAAACAACAAAATGAATCCATTTCGAATAAATTGTATGAATTTTTTTTTCTTCAATTTTTCCCAATCAATCAATCAATCGACCAAAACAATCTTTTTTCTTTATCTTTTGACCAAACACAAAACACACAAACACAAACAAATTTTGGATAAATTAAAAAGAAATGTGACCAAAATTGAACAATTTATGAATTGAGAAAAAAAAAGTGAAATAAATTATTGTTTGTTTACGAATATTTCGATACAAATACATTACATTTTCTAATAAAATTCAAATGAATTTTTTCTCATTACATTGATTTACAAATAGATGAAAATTTCTTCTTCTTTTCTTTTCTTCGGAGGGAAAGAAATCAAATCAAATCAAATCAATATTTTATTCAAATGAATTTGGAAGAAACGAAAGAAAAAAGTTTTTAATATCAATTCGAATCAAAAATCTATATAGAAACATTCGATCCTGGAACAAACAGTGTGCGCATGCCTTGTATTTTTATTTTTATTTTTTTTTTGGTTCGGTTTGGAACGTTCGACAACAAGATAATCGGGACCTACACCGGACAATCTCACCGTCGTCAAACATGGGAACAAAAACATACACACACACAGACGAATAAATACAGAGTGTATTTTAACCATGCTTGGGAACCAAAGAAAAGACCAAAGAAAAGACCAAAGAAAAGATATTTAAGAAAAGAAAAAACAGATAATTCGAACAGATGGTCCATTTGATTTTGTTAAATCCGAATTGAAAACAATGAAATGAAATGACAAAATATGTTTCACACACACACACACAGGGTGTTCCATTATGTTTGTTTGTTTTTTTTCAAAATAATTTTTTCCGCCATTCTGGAATTTAAAAAAAAAACTACAATAGGTTGAATCAAATTTAAATCACCCTGTTTGTTTTCTCAAGAAGTTTTTTTTTGTGAAAGAGAGAGGGGGGCGGAGAACGACGACGAAAATTTTGAATTAAAGAACGAAAAAAAGTAGAAGCAAAGAAAATAGTTGGATTTTTCTTCCTTCTCACACACACTGAACATAAATGAAAGAAAAGGAAACGAATTGTGGAAGTGTGGAAGTATTGATGAAATGAAAATGAAAACCCCCTGTATATTTTTTCTGAGAAAGAGGTGTGTCCATTCTGGTTTGTTTGTGATGAACCACTACCATTTTGGATTCTATTCTATTGTTGTTTGAATTTATTTAATTTGAATAATTTTGGTAGTGGTCTGTGTGTGTGTGTGTGATGAAGAAACACTGTTGTTGTTGATGTTGATGTTGTTGTTGTTTAGATTCGTCTTTTCTTTTCGTTCTTTTCTGTGATCTGTTCTGGTGTTGTCGTTTTTTTTTGGATTCATGATTCACGATTCTGGTTAGTTTTTTTAATATAAATATTCTTTCTTCTATCCATTATCATTCGAATTCATCGATATCATCATCATCATAATCATCATCAGCATCTCTCTTTTTTTTATTATTCAAGAATTTGTTCGGTTTTTTTATTGTCGAATCGCATTTTGCTTCGAATCATTATTTTTGAAAGATTTTAAAATGATGTTATTCTTTTTTCAATCAAAACAACAACAACAACTAAATTGACTAATGTGACTATAGGAAAAATGACGAAATCATCGTTTTGAATGTAGATTTTTTGTTCACATTTTCAATTTCTTTCTGTCAAAATCAACGAAATTTTCCATTGTTTCTGAACAAAAAAAAGGTATGTAGAATTCATTTAATAATTTTCAAAACAAAAATGAATTTGATTTTCTAACGATATTTATGAACAAAATTTTCAATTCAATATGGAGAATTTTATAATTATTCTTCACTCTCTCTCTCCGTTTGATGCTTGTGTAACTCTCTCTATCGACTTTCTATTCTTCGATTCGAATCATTTATGCATGATGATGTTCGATGTTTTTTCGTTTCATAATATGCCCGAAGAGAAAATAATTTGTTAAATTTGTTTTTTTAACAACACTATACTCATCCCCCCAGAAGCAAGGATTTCAGATTCGATTAAATTTGGTTTTTCCTTTTTTTTCTGTTTGTTTGTTTATGAAAACAAATTCTGTTTACTTGCACTCACTCCCCCTCTGCTCACACATAAACACTTTTTATGTTTATAAACATCATCATATTCATACGGATGCTTAGGGAAATATTCTGGAACAAGAATATTTGTTGTTGAATAAAAAAAACAACAACAATCAGCTCTTATAGGAAAAAATCAAGTAATTCTAAACATCAACATGAAAATTCTGACTCATAAATTGAAATTAGTATTTTTCCCCTTGGGTTCTAAAAATAGAATGTTTGTTTTTATTCGGATTTTGTTTTCAGCATGCTTTGATTTTTGTCAATCATCAACATTTGAATTTTGTTTTTTTTTTTTGCTTTCTCAATTAACAAGTTAGTGAGTAAGAGAGGGATGAAATTGAAATTTTTTTTTTGATTAAATTTTTTTTTCAGAAAAATCTGTTTTTTCCCAACAACGAAGAATGTATTTGACATAATTCTTGTGAATTTCCTATCAATTATTGATGTGTGTGTGTGTGTGATGGTAGTGGAAAGATTCTTTCAATTTTACAATTTGTGAAAAAACTTTTCAATCAGGCAAACATCTACGTACACACATCTAATGATGATGATGGTGAAAAACCTTGAAACTTTCAATTCGCGAAATTCTGAAATTTTCAAATTCAATATCATATATGGCTATCTGTTCGTAACAAAATGTTTGAAATGACTCTTTCTCAACATGATGATGAAAAATGAAAACATTTGTGACATTCATAATTGATTGATTGATGTTGATTATTTGTGTTTCGATGCTATTTTTTCTTAATTCCCAATTGATTTTTTATATTCAAAAAGAAAGAGAAAGGGAAAAAGCAATTATTGATTAACATTTTTACGAAATTGAATTTTTTTTAGTATCAAGGGCCGGAAATTTATCATCATCATCATCATCATATTGTTTTGTTGACATAATCAAATAGCCTAAATGTTTATTTTATTCAGTGAATATTCAAGTGTAATTGAATATATGTGTTTATTGATAGTAAAAAAATAATTTTTTTTTATGAATTTTGTTTGCCTAATCAAATATATTCAACAACACAAGAAAATTGATGATGATAACCAACACACACATCAAAGAGATTGATTTGCCTTTATAATTTTAATATTTATAATCATTATTATTATATATGAAAAGAAACAACAATTTTATGATTATTATATTGAACAGAAAACAAACAAACAATAATTTGTCAAATCATCAAGCTATGAACAACATTTGCATTGCTAGAGAGAGAGAGAGAACATGATATTCTGATATTCCTGATAGAATCTATGAATAGTAAACATTGTTTGAGAATTTGTGTTGTTTTTGTTTTCGATTAATGGTTAGTTTTATTATTTTGATTTTGTTTTGTTTTGTTTTGTTTACCTTATTGAATATCAAAAAAAAATGTTTATTTCTGTGTGTGTGTTTGGAAAACGATCATGTTTCATTGCTGTTTGTTTTTGTTTTTTTGTTTACACATTGTATTTGATGAAATTAATAATAATAATAATAATAATTTTGTTCCTTTGTTATCTTTTAATTGATTGATGAATGATTTGATTTGAAAATCGTGATTCTAACTATCGATAGAATCGATTATTTTGACATTGGAAAATGTCGCAACAACAAAATCCTACTTGTAATCCGTTTCATCATTAATTTTTTAAACAAAATCTTCCAGGAAAAAAAATTTCATTTTAATTAACTTTTTTTTTCATTCGTTTCCTTCTTTTAGAATTTAATTCGTCGTAATCATTATTATCATCAATAAAGATTACAACTACAGCAGCTATCTGTTTTTGATTGTTATTAAGGATTTCTCTCTTTTCATTTTGTTTGTTTGTTATGTATGAAATTTACAATTGAATTCACTCATCATCAGGCATCATAATTGTTGATTAATAATAGTGAGATTCAAATAATACATCATTCATTCATTCATTCATTCAATCATGTTGACCAATGGACAAACAACAACAACAACGACAACAACCATATCTCCTATTCCATCAACACAATCGATTAAAGAAGAATTATATGATACAAAATTAGAAAAAATGAACGGAAATACTAATAATAATAATAATAGCAGTAGTAGTAGTAGTATTAATGGGGTTGAAATTGGTATGTTTCTTTTTTTAAAAAAAAAACTTTTGAAAATTATATTCCTTTTGTAATCTTTTTTTTTCCTATGTATTTTGGTGTAGTAGAAAGTAATACAGTAACTACAAATGGTTTTGTTTGTGCCAATAATATTGTCGATAATAATAATGTTGTTGTTGTAGAATCGCCAACATCATCCAAATTATCATCATCATCATCAACATCGGGTATTGTTTCAGTTTCAGTTGAACAACAAACACAAACCGATATGATTGATCCATATCCATCATCATCATCATCATCATCATCGAATACATGTATACAGGATAATATAATGATGAATAATATGGATACATCAACACCACCAACAACAACACAACCATCATCATCATCATCATCATCACAAATAAATTCTGATATAATACATACGCACAATATTCAACAACAACAACAACAATCGGATAACCCATCAACGCCAATTTTAAATAATAACATAAATGGAATAATGGTAACATCAGGTGCTTCTGGTCATAGTAGCCATCATTCTAATCAAGTATCAGTTGGTATGTTTTTTTTATAGTGATGATGGATTTTGTTTAATCAATTTTTGTTCTTTTTAATTAATGATATAATTAATTAATTGTTATTTTGGATAGCATCACAAATATGTAGCAGCTCATCACCTACATTAATGACAAGTCAAACACAGCCAACGGGCAATTGTATTAGTCAACAACAACAACAACAACAAAATCATCCGATTCAGCAAATTCAATCACAAACATCTGTTGTTCCAGTATTATCAACAACATCAACAACAACAACAACAACAACAATACAGCCAAAACGTTTACATGTATCGAATATTCCATTTCGTTTTCGTGATCCTGATCTACGTCAATTGTTTGGGGTAAGATTAAAATTTACAGATTTTTTTTTTGTTTTTTGTTGAAACTTTTGTTTGTAGCAATTTTTGAAATTCAACAAAATAAAAGATTAAGGACGAAGATGAAAGAAAATAGTAAAACATCATTAAGCTGATTATAAAATTGCAACATAGTCAATTTATTTTTTTGAAAATTTTATTCGTGAAAAAACAATAGTTGTCAATCTAATAATAACATTTTAAAATAGAATATTCTATACATATGTATAATAGTATCAATTATCATTCAAATATGAAATAACGTTAACTGAATTCAAATTAGATTCAAAATAAATGTATGTAGATTGGTTGACAAGAAATCTTTCTTTTCTTTTGTTTTTGTTGTTGTTTTTGGTAATCTTATATCCAATAAATGTCGTTTTTTAGGGGTAGAATGGTTATTTTCAAAATAAAATTTATTATGATGATAGATTTTTGCTCAATCAATCGTTTCAGTTTTCAATTTACTTATTGCATTTGTATATTTTCATATCAATTTAATTAAAAATAACCTAAACCCGGTAATGGATGTTCAGCATTTGAAAACACACACAAAAAATTATTTTATTCAAATAGAATTGGTTTGTTCTATAGCCATTTTAATCATGATGAAACTTTTGTTTGTTTTGTTTTGTTTTGTTTTGTCTATGTACGAAATTCAAATGAAATTATTTTCATTAGAATTTCTAATAGAATATTCTGTGTTCTGGGTGTTGATTGCCAACAAATAAAGAAAAAAGAAATGAAAATTCTTGTCTTTATTGTTATTGATTTAATTTAATTTTGTTGTTTTCATTTCAATCGGTATTTTTGGCATTTTTCTTGTTTGCCACACACATTAGTTTATTATAGTTTTTTCGCACTTTATTTTTCAACAACAACAACAACATGCCAATGCAAGAATCTATAAAGATGAGAGTGTTTTTTGTTTTTTTTGTCATTTTCACAATTGAAAAGCAATGACAGAATCAAAAAAAAAACAATGGAATTTCGCGAATGAAATGAATCGGAATCGGTATTGTTTTTTGTTTGTTTGTATGGCGAAATTCCGAAACAATTTTTTCAAATAAAACTTTTTTTTTTCCTCTTTCAACAAGATAAAAATGAACAAACTTAACAATAGATTAGATAAAATTTTGTTGTTGTTTTCCTATTTTTTTTCACGCATTGTTTACCGTAATTCAGCCGATATAAACAAATGTTTTCCTTTCTTTAATATGATAATTTACATAATAATAAATATATTTGTTTATGACAGGTTTTTTCTTCTTCCTCTTCGTTCCATATTCTTAAATAATGATTTTGATGATGATGACAAACAAATGGATTGTCTGTGAGAAACCTAATTCAACCTATAGTCAAAAAAAAACAATACATTTTTGTTTCAATTATATCTGTCAATCATATCTACATTTTTATAATGTCATTTTTTTTTTGGTAATTTCATTTTAACAATGATGATAAGATGATGGCAATTTGTGTTTGTTTTTTTTGTGTGTGTTTTTTTTCATTCAAATATCATCATTATTTATTGGGAAAATAATGATTATTATTGTTGTTGTAGTTGTTGTTGTTGTTGTTGTCATCATCATCATCATTTTGAATAATAAATTCGTTTGAACAGTGTTTGAGGTTCAAACATCTGTATTGAACATTTGAACACAACAACACATTGATTTCATTGACAATAAAAGCGTTTTTCTTTTTTCTTTTCTTTGTTCAAAGAATCGATATTCTGTTGTTGTTGTTGTTATTGTTGAATTTATATGATTCTGTTTACAACATGATATATTCAAATATTGATTACATTTTTTTCTGCATATTTGAATATGGTGGTAATCATCATTAGGAAAAAAATGGAGATTCAGGGTTGAATAGAAATGAATTTCATTATTATTATTATTGTTGTTATTATGTTTGACTAAATGATGATAGGTATATCAAATGTGATCATATTTGAGTCTTTTTTCACTTTTTTTTCTGACTTTTCATTTTCAAATAATTTTCCTTTTCTCTTTTTTTCTTTCAAATATAGCAATTTGGACCAATATTGGATGTAGAAATCATTTTCAATGAACGTGGATCAAAGGTAAGATTGAAACTAAATTGATTGATTAAATTATTTGTACATTTGAGAATGGAGAATGGAAAAAAGAATTGCCATTCTATTGAAATGTGGATTTTTTTTTTGTTGATTCTTTAACAATAGAAAAAAGAATCTCTGTCTATCTGTGTGTGTTTGTGTTTGAATTGGAAGAATCACATTCATTCGATTCACAATGAGAAATGGTTATTTGTATATGTGTGTGTATTGGTCTATAGGGATATAATGATATAGGATATGGAATTTATTGAATAAAAGAATCGTTTATCTATCTACAAAGTTGGTTTTCTTTTTGGGATTTTTTTTCAGTTGAAATTCCTGGGTTTTTTTTTTGCTTTCCTTTCAATGTTATTTGCGGATTTCAAGTTTTTGTTGTTGTTGGTATTTTTTTTTGCTTTGCTGTAACCATTAAACACAAATGTATATGACGTGTAATGAATGCATTCATAGGAATTTTTTTTCTGTGCGTGACTCATTTTGTTTCCCATTGGTTTGAAGTTGACGCCCGAATGTTTGATCCAAAAAAATTTGGTTTTGGGTAAATACATTCAAACTATTAGATTTAGACTAGATAATGAAAGTTTTTTGTTTCCACGTTTATGATGATGATGAATAATGATTGACTTTTGTCTGTGTGTTTTTGCCTAATGAAATTAGTATCAAATACACCAACAACAACAACAACGAGAGGAAAACAGAAAGATTCTTGAATGATTCTTTACCATTGATTTATTGAAAATTCAAGCAATTTAAATTTGTTAGTTTTCCAGAATGGGTTTGAATCATGTTATTGATGGATGGATATTTTGTTGTTGTTGGGTAACCTAATTTACGAAACGATTGCAATTGACGTAATCAACTAACTAACTGACCATAATCAATTCTTGTCGCTTCGTTTCGTTTATTTTATTTATTTTTTTTTTTTTTGATTTACCATTATAATTACCACTTTTTCTATTGGTCATCCTAGATATTAATCGGATAATTATTCTGTTTTGTTATTCGAATTAATGTTTGGTCCATAGTTTCATTCTTTCGCACCAAAATTGATCCATTAGAATGTAGAACATTAGCAGATCAGCAGTAGTAGTCTCTATTGGTTGTCAAGATAATAAAACATTTTTCATTTTTTTTTGTCCATTCTTTTTTTCTTCGTTAAAATATAATTAGATAATGATTTTTATCCTTTGTAATTAATTCCGAAATGAAAGTAGAAAAAGAATTTATGACATTAAAAACGTGTGTGTGTGTGTGTGTGTGCTTGTTGATGGGAAATGTCCATGCAACCAAACATGATGACATTTGATATTTATGATGATTTTGGCTGTTGGAAATAATCATCAAAGGAATCTATTATTCATGTGTGTGTGTATAGTTTATGCTTATGAATCCTTTTTTCATTGAAATTTTTTTCTTTCTAAATCATCATTATAAAATTAGGGTTTTGGTTTTGTTACATTTGCATCAAGTATCGATGCTGATCGTGCACGTGAACAGCTTAATGGTACAATTGTTGAAGGTAGAAAAATTGAAGTTAATAATGCAACAGCACGTGTACAATCAAAAAAATCAACATCCACATCGATAACATCATCATCTGTATCATCATCATCATCAGTATCATCATCAATATCATCATCAACATCATTACAATCAGCTGCAGCTGCAGCCGCTGCTGCTGCTATGGCAGCATCATCATTATCATCACCAACAGTTGCTCATCATGTTGCGGCTGCTAATCAATCATCATCCGTTTCGGCTGCGGCAGTTGCTGCAGCAGCAGCTGCTGTTAATGCAAATGCAAATGCAGCCGCTGCAGCACTTATTTCAAATGGTAAGTGAACCATTTTTTTTTTTAATTATGTTCCAATTCGGATTATGAATATCATCACCATCATTTTCAATAATCAAAAAGAATGCTCAGAATTTTTCGATTATTTTTTTCCCGAAATGAATTTTGATTCGTTTGGTTTTTCCTCCACGAAATAGAATCCAAATGTGTGCGTAGAATATTAGAATATTTTCTTATCGTGCAAACAAACACAGAAACAGATCTCATTAAAATGGGCAAAGAAGAAAACTTACCTATACATCCATCCATAATATGAAATTAGAAAGTATTTTTGAGAGAATATTGAAATGATTGTAAATAGAGCAATTCTCTTCTTTTCTCTTTTTGGTCCGAATCAGTAGTAGCTTCGATATATGGATGTTTTCGAAATGCCAAAATATCATCGAGACCTTTAAACCAATTCTGTCTATTTTTTTTCTCTGTTTCCTGTATATAATGTTTGTGAACACAACTAGAGAGCCGAAAGAATTATTTCATTTTATTATTATTATTTTTTTTGTTGGTTAATGCCTGTGTTTATCATCATTTACTCAATATATACCGATTCGTTTGAATTGTGCACAGGCGCTTGAATTGATGCATTTTTCTTTCTTCTTCTGATTGCTCGTTTCATCAAATCAGTCAGATCAGATGCAAACAGAATTTTTTTTTCGGTGTTTTGAGAATTCGGTTTAGATTTTGAAAAAAATTGAATTTTTTTTTGTTGGAAAATTTTCCCATTAATTTTACTTCGATTAGTTTACCTGTATGCGTAGTTTTTTTTGTCAGTAATAACCATTAACATCATCATCGACAACCATAATCCATCAATCTTTTCCCATTACATTTGAGATGGTTTTCCCATTTTTTACTTAAATAATAAGATTCTGAATAAAGAATTTAATGGAACGATATTCTAGCGCTTCTCTCTTTGTCCACCTCTTTAGAATTTCTATTTTTATTTTTTCTCCAAAAAAAACAAATATTCTTTTTCAATGGAAAATTCTTTTCTTTTCTGGCTTCCAAATATTTTTCCTTATTTTCAATGATATTTTATCGTCTTGCGTTTTATATTTTCTGTCCTGTTTAATCATCAAGTAATTAAATGAATGTCTTGTGTGTGTGTGTGCGTTTGCGGGGAAGTGGATGCGGTTCTTATTTATATTTGCCTATTATTCTGGGTATTGGTTTATGTCACAAAATCTTTGTTATCGAAAAGAATCGAAATATTCTATGTTTGTTTGTTCCTATTTCCCCTTCTTTTTTTTTATTGCAATATTGATTGGTTTGATTTCTTTTTTATATTGATCTTGTCTTGTTTTTTTTATCTATAAAATTTCATAATAACTGATTGATTGATTGATTTCTATATATGTTAATGTTATGATATGTTATCTATCTTTTTCAATGTTTTTTTTTCAAAAAAACCACCACCACCAACCAACCAAAATAAACACAAAAAACAAAATTTAAAATCAAAAACAAAAATATTAGTGGCAGCTCTACGCGGTGTAGCGATCCAAAGAGGTACACGGCTAACAAGAGCGGCAAATACATTGGCCGCAACAGCATTTCATACAAGACACTCTTCACCATTAACTACCGCTGCCACATTGCATGGTTATGCTGCTTCCCAGTAAGTTCATATTTTTTTTTGAAAAAAAAATTTAAAATTTTTTAATTTTTATTTTATCTTTCCGTTGTTGTTTTGTTGTTTACCCGCTTTTTTTCCCTTTTCCTTTGTTGATTTTTTGATATGTTTGTTGTTGGGTTATTGTTATTTGCTTGTTTATATGCTTCCATTTATATAATGCAAAACATCAATTTTGGCTGGTCATTTTTAGAAATTTTAATTTTTTAACAAAAATTTACTAGTTTTTTTCCTGGAAATAAAATATAATTTGCATATTAATAGCTGAAAAGGTTTTCTCTATCTATGTCATGTCGTTTATCTTTTTTTTTTGTTTTGGGAATGTCCAGAGAATTGAACAACAAATTTTTACTTTTCCTATTTTTTTTTCACAATGTTTCTTTCCCGTTGCCTTAAAAATCCACTTGATACTTGTCATTCCTTCCACCTTTCACCAATTTTTCCCCTTTATTCTTCTTTATTTTACAAATTTTGATGAACCCAGCCGAAATAATTTTTTAAAAAATGAGGACGCTGCGTTTTTTAGTAGAATTAATTTATCATTTTTTTTCCTTTTTTGAATGTTTTTTACAATTGAATTTGAACGTTTATCTAACTCTGTTTTTGTTTTGTTTTGTTATCTCTCTTTTTTTTCTTCTTTTTCAAAAACATAAAAAACAATTTCTGCAATGAAAAATTGTTCGTTTTGATTGTTATACACACACAAAAAAAAATAATGATAATTTCTTGTTGGCTGCATCATTTACGCTCCGTGATCAAACGTTTTATATTTTATAATATTGAAATGAAATTTGGAATGAAAATGAATGAATGAAATACATAAACACAAACACATAAAAAAACTATAGGCTATTGGCTGCTCGAAATGCCGCTGTTTATCAGGATCCATTCTTAACTTATGCTGCGGCTGCAGCCGCAGCTAATGGTACTGAACGTTATCAATTGCCCGTAAGTAATCCTGAACGAAATTAATTGGTTATATATTAAATAAATTGGGATTTTTTCTGCTTCGATATTCATTTTAGCCTACATATGCGGCTAATGCAGCATATACAGCGGCAGCTGCAAGATCATATGCAGCTGCCGCAGCAGCAGCCGCTCAAGCTAATCCAAACGTAGCAAGTTATATGGCCGCTACTACTGGGTAATATGTTTTATTGATTTATGGAAAACATGTTTTTTTTATTTAAAAAAAATCGATATTTTTTTCATAGTTATGGACGAGAATTTGCTGAACCTTATCTGGGACATAGTATCGGACCTGTATCTGGCTATGGAGTATGTTTAATTTTAATTTTTTTCACCTTTGGTTTAATTCATTATCATTCACAGGTTACATATCGAGGAGCGTTCAATCGTTTTACGCCCTATTGAAATATTAGACATTTTATCTTTTTCTCATAAACTTATCAACGTTTTTCTGATTTTTCATATTCTGCCCACAATGAAAACCAAAATATCATCGATTATATCAAAAAAATCTCTCTTTTAAACGCGCCAAATTATTGAAATTTCTCATTAAAAAAAAAGAAACTATATACACAGGAAAAGAAAAATACTCAACAAATGACTAATGTTACCAAAGATAATGGGAAAACTAAATTAACGATTAAAAGATACATAAAAATTGATGGACGAAAAATATTCACTGATAAAAAAACCAAAAAAACAAAAACCGAATCGAAATTGAAAAACAAAGAAACCTTTTAAACACCTACGACTCACACAAACATGTGATTCTATCTTTTTGTTTTTTCTAATTAGCTCTTCGTATTATTTTGAAAAATTCTCTATTGTTTCATCCTACACATTACGATTCTATGGCATTTTCTTTCGTTTTTTTCTTTCAATCCTGATAGAATACTCACCCAATTACACACACACGAATGATTTTTGTTTCTTTTTTCTTTGTTTGTTTTAATTATTGAAGAATGAAAATTTTGCTAGTCAAATTTTATTTTTCACACTCACAAAACACACACACACACGGCATTTATTTTTTTTTTTTTTGCTGAAGAAAAACACAATTTAGGCAGCAAATACTTAATACCGATATTTTTTCGTTCATTCATCGTTTAATTAATTAAGTTTTTTGTCGAATCGCTTCTGGTGTTTTCGATAGCGATCATCGCATTCACCACCACCATCATCATCATCATCATCATTACTACCGCTAACTACTACTGGCTTCTTTATTATTGTGAAATTAATGAATATCATCAACGCATTTAACATAATTGATACGAATAATGCATATCTTTTCTTTTTCTTTATCTTTTTTCTTCTTCTTCTGATCTGATCTGTTATCAATTTATCCATTATTGAAAAATTTATATATCATTCATCATCTGTCTGTGTGTAATTTCATCGAGCGAAAAAAAAGAAGATGGAAGAAGAATTACCAAAAATTAAAAGAATCAGGAATAAGAATTACCAGAATATATTGACAGAAGTAAATAATTTTCTTTTTTTTTTGTTTTGTTTTTTCTAATTATTATTATTATTTTTCTACAACACAAACAGAAATTGCCAAATTTTCTCCCCCCTCCTCTTCAACAACACCCACATCAACCAACCGAAAACAAAACAAAACTTTAAAAGAATTTAATGTTTTTTTTTTGTATTTTAATTCAGTATTCTATTTGATTGTCTCTCATTTTGTTCCTTGATTCTTTATCCGAATGATTTAAAAAAGAAGAAAAACACACACACATGATACTCTTTTGACCATTCTTTTTTTTGTGTCCCTCCTTTCATGATTTTGTCCTCCTTCTCCTCATCAATGTGAAAAAATAAAAATGAATTTTTTTTTCTTTGAAATTTTGCGTTAATTAATTCAATTAAACTAATTAGTTAGTTTTTCTCAATATTTAAAGTGTTTGAAATTTTCCAAAATCAATCTTGTTGTTTGAATTCGTTTGTGTTTGTCTGTGTGTGTGTGTGTTTCAATTCTAATTTGATAATCATGAACGAAGAAAAATGTGAAAAAAGTATGAAAAGTTTAAAAAGTTTAAAAAAATTCATCTATTTTAGTGAATCACCTAAATGGGAATTATTAGAATGTAAAACGATAAAATTCTGTGTTGAAGAACAATCCGATAATGTTGATGATGATTTGAATATAAAATCAGGAAATTTACGTTCACCAAGAAAATTGATTCATATTTCCAAAATGATACAACAACATAATGAAGCTAATCGTCCGTTACCGATAAAATATGAAAATAATAAATTAATCCTTAGGCAACCATTCAAAATTTTAACAGATATTTGGGGTGTTTTAGTACCATATGATTTTCGTAAAACACTTTATAAATATATTGATGATAATTTTGAAAATTATATAAGGAAAAATCTTCATACCGAATCCGTTCATAATTATATTGAACATTTAATACAACGTAATGAAAAAGATTTAAATGATTATCCAGAAATACCATTAATTATAACTGATGATAATGTTGAAGATGTTAATAATAATGATAATGGTGAAAATAATAATAATAACAACAATAACAACAACAATAACGACAATAACAATAACGAAAATAATAACAAAAATGATTATAATCATGATGAATGTTTGATAAAATCAATTGTAAATAATATAAATTATCGTAGACAACATCGTGATAAAAAATTAATGAAAAATTTAGATTCAATTTTTAATCAAATTTGGAATGATGGGTAAGTAGTTTAGTTTGTTGGTTTGGTTGTTGATGATAATGATGATGATAATGATTCTCTTTCTCCACAAAATAGATATACAAAAAAAACTTTAAAACCAACAGTTTTTCCCGATGTTATTGGTAATTTTAAAAAATGGCATTCCGATCCATTTTATATAAAAATCTATACATTTGCATCCGGACCATTAGAAACACAGAAATTATTTTTAAGTGCATCAACCGAAGGTAATGTTTCACAATTTATAACAAGCGGTTTTGATGCACATCATCGTTTTAAATATGATACAAATAAATATCGTGGTGTATTATCATCATTAACCGAACGTGAAGCAAAAAATCTATTCTATATGACTGATAGTCCGAATAAAGGTCGTGCAGCAAGGCGTACCGGTATGACTGTTTTTATTGTTAAACGTCCGGGTAATCGTCAATATAATGATGATGATCTGAAATCATTTCCAATTATTAATAGTTTTGATCAATTTGAATTTATTGAATTTGCATTTGCTTGTTGTTAATATTGAATATTGAATATTTGAAAAATGATAATAATTAATAAATTCATTAACTAACTAACTAACCAACCAAACATCAAACCAATCAATACTATCGATATTATTTTTACCATCGACTCTGATCATGTGATCCGTTTGTTTTTGTTTTTGTTTTCATTACGCAGCATCCAAATGATTAGAATTCAATCAAGTCCAAAAACAAAACTTTATTTTATTTATTTTTCACTTGTGAATCATGTTTGCAATAAATTCACGTTCATATTTATTACCAAATGTTGTTATGCGAATGTTGTTTATCCGGAAAATTTCATCATCATCATCGTATATTACTGAATTTCAATCATTATTAGGCAATGAAAATGTTCAAACAAATGATCTTGATTCATTTAATCAGGATTGGTTGAAAAGTCATCGCGGAAAATCCGATATTGTATTGTTTCCAAGAAATACTAATGATGTATCAAAAATACTTGGTTATTGTAATCAAAATAATCTAAAATGTGTTATACAATCGGGAAATACATCGCTGGTTTGTGGTGCAACACCATGGCAAAATGAAATTATTATTTCGATGAAAAAATTGAATAAAATTTTATCGTTTGATGAAATTACTGGTGTACTTCATTGTGAAAGTGGTTGTATATTACAGAATCTAGAAGAATTTGTAAAACAGAAACAACGTCTAATTCCATATGATCTTGGTGCAAAAGGTTCATGCATGATTGGTGGTAATCTAGCAACAAATGCTGGTGGTTTACGTTTTATAAAATTTGGTCCATTACATTCAAATGTACTTGGATTAGAAATAGTAATGGCTAATGGTAAAATATTAAATTTAATGAATAGTATGCGTAAAGATAATACTGGATATCATTTACGTCATTTGTTTATTGGTTCGGAAGGTACACTTGGTATTATTACTAAAGTTTCAATAATATGTCCAATGGATTATAAATTTAAAAAAATATTCTTAGTCGCATGTGAAAATTTCAACAAATTAATCGAATTATTTCGAATGGTACAGGAAGATTTTAATGAAAATTTATCCTGTTTCGAAATGATGGATGAAAGTTCGATGAATGTTGTTGTTGAAAATCTACGTTTACCATATCCATTATCCCGATCATATCCATTTTATTCCCTGTTTGAATTATCAGCCAATGATGAATTATCATTAGATCAACGATTTACAAAACATTATGAAAAACTTGTAAATAAATCTATAATATTAGATGGAACATATGCTAATGATTCGGATAGTGAAAAATTTCATAAATTAAAATCTTATCGTGAATCAATATCCGAAGGTTTACGATTGGATGGTTGTAGTTATAAATATGATGTATCATTACCATTGAATGTTTATTATGAAGTGGTAAATGTAATGCGAAAACGTTTATCATCATCATTATCATCATCGAATAATGTTGTACGTATCTGTGGCTACGGACATATGGGTGATGGAAATATGCATTTCAATGTTACTTCGAAAAAATTTGATCAACAAATTTTAAATCAAATCGAACCATTTCTTTATGAATTTGTTGCTAAAAATAATGGTAGCATTAGTGCTGAACATGGTATCGGTGTTAAAAAACGAAAATTTCTTCATTATTCAAAAAGTGATGAGGCCATCAAATTAATGCAACAAATGAAACAATTATTTGATCCGAAATCGATATTAAATCCACATGTTTTGTTCTAGTAAAACTCTTTTCTCTAAATCGAGTAATAAAAGTGTAACCAAAACAAAAAGAAAAAAATGTTTGTAATTAAATTTTTATCATTTTTTAAAACTTGAAATTTTTAAAATTTTATTTGCACACATTCCCCCCCTTCACACATGACAAATACCAAACATAACTGGATTTTACGAGTGAGGAAAAAATAAACATTGGAAAATACAATATTTGATGACATAATGCCAATCAATGCGATTTGATGATAATTTAATCAATTCGCGAATTTTTGATTTTGATCAAAGATTCGTATGTTGATACCATTATGATGACTTTGTTTGGTTCAATTTTTTTCACTTTGATCATCAATGTTCGCAATGCGCTTATCTTTCATATATTTGATTATGCGGAACAAAAAAAAGGGCATTAACGTCAGAACAAAAAGGTTATTTTTTTCTTTTCTTTTCTTTGTTGGGTATATTAACCAAAATTCATTTTAAAATTTTGTTTGTTTGCTTGTTTGCCTTAATCGTTGCTTAAATCATCATAAAATAATGATCATGATGAAGATAATCGAGGTTCATACGTCATTGATTTATCGCTATCTGATTACAAAAACTGTACACGACGACAACATATATCAACAACAACAACTACATTGATGGCAGATATGGCCGGATCTGATCGGATTGAATTCATTCGAATCGATTTGAAATGGCCATAGTCATCGTATATATAGATTTTTCTTCTCTTTCTCTCACTATATATAACTCTACATTCTCTTGCCAAATAAAAAAAAGAAACAGACAATCAAAAAGACATTGACAGCAACATTATAACGGTAAATGTAAAAAAAACGTAACGTTACGGCAAACGAAGCTGAGTCATATTTCAACAAAAAAAAAACAACAAAATCTTTCAAAGAGAAGAGAAAAGTTAAAAAATCATACGTCGTTTCGTTTTTTTTTGCTGTTGATTGTTTCATTTTCAATATTTGCTTTTTACACTATATATACGCAGTTTCAAAACGTTTTTACCCGTTATTATTCGTGAAAATTATCTTCGATAGAAGAAGAAAACTGTCTATTGCATATCGAATACGAAAACTACAATCGCTATCTCATTAATACAGATTTTATTCGTCTGTGTGTGTGGTATTTGTTCTTCAAGTTAGATTTCTTCGTTTTTCTTTCTTCTGATTTTATTTGAAGAAATAAAATTTCAAAATTCATATTGCCAGTGCCTTTGATCGAATGAGTAAGTATTTCTTAAGAAATTTGTTTTTTTTTTTTGGTTAATTTTTTTTCATTGAAAACACAGATACGATTGATAAATTAATTGAAACAGAATCGAATAGTAATAAATCGACGTCGGTCAACGATATAAACAATCCAATGGATTGTATCAATAATCATCTTTCATCATCAACATTTCAACGACATCAATTATTTGCTGCTGAATGGCCTAGTTGACTTAATGAATCGAATGAATCCGTTATAAATGCCTTCATTGATGATGTTGTTGTTGTTGTTGTTGATGATCATGATGATGATGAACAACAATCGATGATAAATTCATCACAATCATCATTGAATTTGGCATCAGTGAATAATGATGAATCAATTGTTCTGACAATTGAAAATGGCTTCCCTTCCAATGGAGATTCGGCTGATTCATTGCATTCGACCGGTTCAGTTAGTACCGGAATTGCAAAAATCAATAATGATAATGTTCAAACTCCAAAATGCAACAATAAATCACCGGATTTACCGTTAATTCTTGATGATATTACATTGGAAAAGCTGCTTGACATACCACATTGGTCAGCTGAATTGAAACAAATTGAATTCAAAACAATTGAACAATTTGAAAATGCATTAATCAAATGGGAAGATATTCTTCAACAAGTATTGGAATGTTATGATTACAATACATTTGGATCATATGTTGATTTTTATCATTCATATCAAAAATCCAATTCAAATTTAACTGATTTTATATTGAATTATCAGGCAAAGATAACTACCGAAAGTATGTCTTGTGTAGCACAATCATTGGTGTTGATGCAAAATCTATCCGCTAACGATAGTTTATATGGATCAAATTTTTCATTAGTATCATGTGAAGAAATGATTATGATTATGACAGCTGAAAATGGTGAAGGAAAATTACAAACAAAATATCAACTTGATGCAAAGAATAATGTTAAAGAACATGTATTGGTTTGTCTTAAATTTCAAATTGCCGATAATAATCGATCCGGTTATGTACTATTGGATCCTGGTTATCATATTTCACGGCCAATAATCGTCATGAATGATTGTTTATTTCCGCATACCGGTTGGTTTAATGCATCGAAAAATCGTAAAGTTTGTAAAGATTATTGTTATCAGATAATCAATGATCAATATATTGCATGGAAAGTACGTGAAACAAATATTAATGATCCAAATGAAGTGATCAAACAATATTTAAACATCATTTATATACATAAAGAATTTATCAAATATGCAAGTGTTACGGAAAAACGTGCTTGTATTTTTTCATTAAAATCATATGTTGTACGTAATCGTAAAGGTGCTGTAGCCGGATTTTATTCATGGATTGAGGAAAAAAATCTAACAATATTCTATGAAGAAAATGGTAAACGTATTACAAATAAATTTCATATAAATGATCTTGATAAACAAGAAGAAGTTAAATGTTGTTTGGAAAAAGTAGCTGCCTATACAAAAGATTCAAAAGATTATAAATCTTTTATAAACATATTGACCGATTATCGACAATCATTATATGATGAAGAATTTTGTTTTGATCTTTGTGAAATTGATAAATGGATTGAAGAAGATTAATTATTCAAATTTCATTTAATTTTTAATTAAGTTTAATTAAATTCTTAATTTTATAGTTTGGATTACAAATTATTTGGAAAAGGATAAACACAAGATCCAAAAACAACAACAACAACGAAAACAAAGTTATCTCGTATTTCTGTTTTGTTTGTTTGTTTGTTTTTTTCTCAAATAAATGATGATGATAATTAAAATAAAATCAATCAATCAGTTTTTAATTAATTAAATAGAGTATTATTAATTATGAATAATTATGGTTAATTGATTTCAAATGAATAATTACTATAGTTTGGAAAAAAAAGGGAAAATAATAATTTTCAAATTCTACGACAGGTTCTGTACTCTAAATTTGAATGAAATCAATCAAATAATGTATCCATCAAATTCATTCATCGTGTTCACAATTAGTATGATTGATATATTTGGGAGAAAAAAACAGAAAAGAAATTCTAAACTTTAAATTATTCATTTTTCTTGCCATTATTGGCTGGCTTTTTATATTTTCTATTTTTCATTGTAGCTTTTTTCACTTTAGTTGATGATTTACTTGATGATGATGGTGAATCATGATGATAATATTGATACAAATTATTACTATTGCTAGGTATAGTTGATATCAGTGGTGGTGTTGAGCTAGGTGGATGTGTTATAATTGGAACCGGAGATACTGATGATTGATAATGATCTGTTGGTCCAGAAGTGATTGCCAAACGTGCACGTTGTGGTGCTTGTTGCAAATATTGTTGCTGTTGTCCACCATTTGGATAGGCTCGTGACATTCTTGATGACCATTCCTGTTGAAATTGTGGTGCTTCCTCTTCTTCAATGTTAATGAATTCATTGTTCTCTTCTTCATCACCAGTATTATTATTTCGACTTTTTTCTATTACATGACCACGATCTTGAATATGTCGACCAACTTTCATTTTTTGTAAACCGGAACGTGAATCACGTACAGTATGACGTTCTTCTCGAACACCACCCGGACCAATGTGATTCATTTTGGTTTCCTCATAAACTTGCGGTGGTTGATTACCATTACTTGAATATGATACAAATGATGATGATACGAATGATGTACCAGGATTAGCTTGCATTTGTGATGCCTGTTGAAAAATATTCTGGAATTGATTCATAGGATTGAATGGTGCCATCATATTCTGACCAGGACGACCGAATGGTGTCATAGCAAATGGATCAAACATACCACCCATCATCTGATTCATCATATTATCCATGTTTCTATTCGAATTAAATTATTGATTAGAATCAACAGAAATTCAAAGATAAAAATCAAATCATCAACTTACCCAAACATATCGTCCATATTACCAAAACGGAAAAGAGCCATTTTTTTAAAAAAATTTCTTTCGATAGAAAAATTAATAATTTAACACAACGAAAATAAATGGAATTGCGAAGACAAATGAAATAAAAATACTTGTTGTAATTATCAAATACAATGATTGATTTGTTTTTTTTTTCGGTTGAACAAATATTCTCGAGAAAAAAAAACTTATCAAATCGGTTTTGTAATCGACGAAAAAGTTTAATTTTCTTGTTTGTCTAATCCACTTTGATGTAAGTGATGAAGATTTTTATTGCCAAATACACAATAGAAATAAAAAAAAGTTACCGAGAAAAAAAAAGAAAATGATTGAGCGCACATGAGCAGAACATATGTTGAACTATTTCAATAACTTTGACGCGTAGCTGCGAGAAAAATCTCGAAAACAATATATTGTTCATATAAGACGTGACCAAAAGTTTTTTTTTTGTAAAAATTATCATTCGAATTTACCTGAAAAGAAATTATACCTGGATTAAAATTAAATTAAATCTTTTTTCTCCCCAAATAGTATCAAATGTAAATTACAAAAATTTACAATGTTTCAAGAAATGTTGTTTCTTTAAAAAATTTTATTTTACAAAAAAAAGATGGCACTTTGCCTATTTCGACTGAACCATGGTTTATCATCATCATTATTTCGATTCGAATGTTTATTATAAGAAAAAAACATCCGTTTAATCATCCCATTATTTGAATCGAAGGATTCTATTGAACCTTAACAACAACAACAACAACAACAATCAAATAAAACAATCATACAATTAATTAATATACAGACACAATAATATCCAGTTATGGTAGGTAACCATGGATATTTTTTATATGTGAAAAAAATAATTGTATAAAATTAACTTGAAAAAAAAACATTTGAAATATGCTATGTGTGTGGGACAAATTTATGAAAAATATATCATCAATTATGAATGATGATGATGATGATAATCAAAAACAGTAAATTGTATATCATTTTACTATTATCAAATTTTATACCATCATCATGATAATAATGGCTAATAATACACACGAAAGGTAAGGTTTGATTACCATCTAGGATAGGTAGATGGTTGAAAATATGAAAAAAAAACTGAACTGAACTGAAATGAACATTCCATTCATGCATACCCCAATGGTATGCAGCCGCCGAAAATATTTTTGAAAATACAAACCGGTCATATATACCCAATGCATTCTCCAATACCTTTTTTTCAAAGAGAGAGATAGACATAACCTGAGAGAGAGAGAGAGAGAGAGGATGTCTAGGGCAACGACCAACCTTTATATATTTTTCGTTTGTCTACATCTCAAATCTAATAACAAACAAACAAACAAACGAAGAAAAAAAGAAAAGAAAAGAAAGAAAAGAACCTCATGTGTATTATTATTACATTAAAAAATATCATTTGGGAAATAAACAGAAAAAAAATTACAAATTTGGACTGGCGCGTTTTTATTCAATCCATCCATCCATCCAACCAACCATATGGAATATAATACAACACTCTTCATTTCATTTCATTTCATTCATTCAATTCAGTTTCTTTCATCTCTATATATATCATCAAAAACTCGGATCTCTGTATTTGTGTGTAAATATTGGGCGAGGCTTTCATCATCATCATTTTGTTCATCTTGTTATTCAATTGGATTGAATTTGTAATGAATGAATGAAACTTGAATATAACAAACAGCACATGCACACAGACAGACACATTGGAAAATAATATGGGATTTTTTTTTCATTGGATGCAATGGAATACATACATACCACGATGATATTTTCGGGATGATGGTCATGGTGGTGGTGGTGGTGGTTGTAGTAATGATAGTTTTGCCAATTTACTATAGTGGATGATGCCATCACAGAAAACAAAACAAAACGAAAAAATTCACACCGAACGTAAATTGGACCTGAAATTTTTTTCGTTTCTGGCCTTTTTCGAGTGCTGTGATCATCAACCCAAAACCTTATCATCAAAAAAAAAACAGAATTCGAATCATCAAAAATATCGATAGTATCGAAATGATTCTGTTGTCTTTTTTTTTCTGGCCACGAATATTTTTTTTCCCAAGATTCGATTCATCTCTTTAATTTTGTTTTGAAATTTATGAAAATTTAATATTTTTTCTTCAAAGAGAAAAACATACGACATTTAATCCTTGAAGCAAATGATGTTATTACGAAGAAACAATTTGTTATTGTGACATTAAAAGTGATGTAATCAATCGTGTGTGTTCCTGAATGAATGAATCCTTTTCCACATTCCATAAAAGTGTATCCTTGAATGAAAGTAAATTTGTTTTTTTTGTATTTTGTTGGTCTGATGAAACAACAACAATGTTCGTTCATAATGATGTTTTTATGATATATTTTTGTCCAAACAAATCTATCAATCGATGATTTATGAGATTTTTGATGATAAACATTCGATTCTCAAAATCATGTAAATGATGGACATATCATGTAAATGTTCAACCACGATAATTAAACCGTTGATGTGATTCAAAAATTCATTGAAACATATACAAAATACACACATAGACAAACACACACACAATTTGACAATCATCTGCCTACGATATATACAACATTTGATTCAAAAATATAATCATCATTTTTAGGTAAATCTGTGCTCATCATCATCATCGTCGTCCATAATTTACTTCTTTTAATAACAACTAGTTGATCATCATTATCTTTATTCGTTGATTTCCTTCATCATCATTTTTGTTTTGTTTATTCATATATAAATCATTTTCTTATTTACTGTCCAAACACACACAGAAAATCTTTATGCTCGAATGATTTATCTGGACACAAACAAAAACATTTGATGAACACTTTTCACAAAGAAAGATATTTTCTGAGATTAAAAAAAAAATCATTGACAACGGAAAATGGAAATTATTATTATTTAACCAACCAAAAAAAGAAAAACTTGTTTGTTTTTCTTAAAATATTTTTCGCCGTTGTTGTTAAATTGTTTCTATTTTGTTTTTCTCGGGTTATTACCCGGAAATTATTTAACCCCGTGAAAGCATAAAAACACCGAAATGATGATTTGTTTTCAATTGTCACGATTTTGAAGAATATTTGTTTTATTCATTTTAAAAAATTGAAAAATATGTAAATTATGTCATCAAGCGCATTATCATCAGCGGCAACAACAACAACAACAACGACTACCACAACAACAACAACATCGACAACAACAACAACAATATCGTCGATTAATAAAGCACCATATTATTATGGTGAATTGATTAAAAAAGAATCGAATAATAATAATAATAATCTAAATCAACAATCAACAAAACAATCAAAATATCGTGGTTGTCATCCACAATTGACAATTATCAATAATAATAATAATAATAATAATAATTCATTTGGTCAACAGAATATTATTGTACATAATGAAAATTTTTCAACAACAAATGGTAGTAGCGGTTCTGAAAGTGGTTATGGATATGGTCGTACAACATTATCAACGATAATACCATCATCAAAGACTTCGTTGACAAATAGTAGTAGCCCGAATGATTTGAAAACAACAACAACAACAATCATAACAGCTGTACGATCAACGGATAATGATGATGATGATTCTACTACTACAAATACGGCAATAAATAATAATTTGAATAATTCAAATCAAACAAATATTGTGTCCATAATCAACAATAATTTACCATTTATTACGAACAACAATAATAATGTTGACAATCCAACAACAGGCAAACAATCATTATCATTATTACAGCTACGGCCACCACTATCATCATCTTCGTCTTCTTCGTTAGCCGAACAACAACAACAAGTTTCGAATATAACTCCTACTGCTACGACTACTTCAACGTTCAACACTCAACAACAACAACAACGACATTCATCTTTGGCCTATCCAAATGTTCAAAGTACAAGTGGTGGTGGTGGTGGTGGTTGTGATGATGATGATGATGATGATGGTGATGAACGAATAATAGTGGTGGCAACAACAACTTCGGCATCGTTAACGTCGGCATTATCATTATCATCTACTATAGCGAAAACAACAACAACATTATCTTCTTCATCACCAGTGATAGAATCTTCTTCGTCACCATTAAATAATCATCAACAGCAACAACAACAACAGAATATTCCATATCATCATCTATATAATTATCATCAACAAAATCATTCATCATCATCATCATCATCACCATATGGTATTACAGAAGGATTAAAACGTTTTCAAAAAAATCCATATAATAATACTATTGGTTCATTTGCAAATCCATTATTATTATTAGATGTTGATATACGTAATGGTACTGAAAGTTTACCACGTGCATTTCAACCACCATATTCAACAACGAATAATAAAAAATCATCAACATTAAAACAAAGTATTTATCAACGATCATTATCAATATTTACGAATGGAGTTAGTCCATTATTACGGAAAAAGAAATCAAAATCAAATCAACAACAACGACGTTTTCCAAATCTAGATTATCAATTTGTTGATAATAATTATCGACAAAATCATCATCATCAATTACAACAACAGCAACTGCATAATACATTATCAACATCAACATTAGGTTTATCACAATTACGAAGAAAATCTGAACCTATTATGTTTAGCTACGATTCAATTACAAATGAATTATCAAAATTTCAAGCTCGTGAAGAGAAAATTGTTAAAAATATTAATTTAGATTTTGAAAAAATGTTAATGAATGATACGAATGGTGAATATTGTACTGGTTCAACATCATCAAGTAATAATGCTACAGGCATTGGTGGTAATCATTTTATCGATCAATCATCATCATTACGACGATTAGCTCAACAACAACAACAATTTGGTGGTAATGTAAAAGATGATTTTGATCATTATGGTAAAACAATGATATCGGCTGCCGGTCAACATCAATTACAACAACATCATCCTCATAGTGCATCTACTCATCAATTTATTCAACAACAAACGCCTTCACATCATCAACAACAACAACCACAGCTTTCATATAAAGAACCATTCTATATGGTTTATGAAGATAATCGTAATAAACAATTACAGCAGCAACAACAACATCATCATTCAAATTCAATTCCAACAACAACAACAACAAATCATCATCATCATCAAACACATCATAATGATGATAATATTTATGAAGAAATTGATTTTCTTACATTATCATCATTACGTGCACAATATGCTGATACATTAAGTTTACAAAGTTATAAGAAAAAAGGCGGTAGTAAACGATCATTAGCATCATCAAGTTTTACACGTTGGTTTTCAACACGAAAGAAAAATTCACCATCAATGTCGGAAGATGAAAATCCATATATTGATATTAAATTATCAAAAAAACAACGACCACCGATAACATTGCCGGAAATACCGGGTGAATTAAGTAAAGAACAACTAAAACGTCGTTATATTATTGGATCGATTGTAGATTCAGAAAATTCCTATATAAATTCATTACAACGTATAATAAATTTATATAAAAAACCATTAGAAGAATCAAGCCCATCGATATTAAGTCAGAATAAGATAAATATAATATTTCATCGTTTAGAACAGATTTTACAATGTCATACAATATTTGGTATTGCCTTAAGTCAATGTGTTCGTGAATGGGATGAAAAAGAACAAATTGGTGATGTATTTATTGCATCATTTTCTAAATCAATGGTATTAGATATTTATTCTGATTTTATAAATAATTTTACAAATGCAATGGAAACAGCACGTAAAGCAGCTAAATCAAAATCAGCATTTGCACAATTTTTACAAGAAAAATCACTTTCTAGTCCTGATCGTCTTAGTTTTTTTGGTTTAATGGTTAAACCTGTACAACGATTTCCACAATTTATATTATTATTAAGTGATCTACTTAAACATACACCATCTGATCATCATGATCGTATGTCATTACAATTAGCATTAACACAATTAGAATCATTAGCCGATCGTTTAAATGAACGTAAACGTGATGCTGAAAGACATTTTGCCGTTAAACAATTATTAAAAGATTATCTAAGTAGTTCAACAACAAATTCATCTAATCGATTTCTATTACGTCAAGATGATATTTATCAACTTGAATTGGATACAAGTTCAGGATTAGTAATGAAAACTAAATGTAGAAAATTATATCTATTAAATGATATGCTTGTTTGTGTAAGTGTACCGGCAAATCGTCTTAAATATGCTGTTTCATTACAAGATGTTGATGTTATGGATGATGTAACACCGGCAACAAATAATTTGATTGCAAATTCAATGCTCAAAAGTAAAGGTAATTCTTTTTTTGAACAATTTTCTTTTTAATTTAGTTATTTATTTATCCTGTTATTGTTTTACAGATCCGGCGAGTGCAACTTCATCACCAAAACATTGTACTGTCGAAAGAATGTATTGTGATCTAAATAGTTTAATACATGATCTTGAAGTTATTAGTCGTGTATCGAATCTATTATCATCACTACGTTATCAATATCAAGGTATATCGGTTGAATTGGTCGAACAGATTGGTACGGAAATTCGTGAAGAAATACGAAAAAAAGATGCACAAATTACATTAATCGATCGATCTTGTTTACAGATTCGAATACGTTCAAAAAATTATAAAGATATTATCTGTATACAAATGAATGATCCGGAAACAAAAAAAGATTGGTTAACCGATGTACGATTGGCAAAATTAGCATTAGATCGATCAAATAATCCAGCATGGGATATTGTCAATGAAACAATATCAACAACAAGAACAAATCTATCTAATTCGATTATTATGCATCGTGTACCGTTATTTGTTAAATCATTACCAATATTTGCAACAACTGAACATAGTATGCTTACATGTGCATTACATTATCGTATTAATCGTCGTGATGATCTTGTATTGGAAAATAATGCTGGTGTTTTATGGATTTGTAATGTAAATGAAAATGGTTCACAATTAGGTGCATTAGCAACAAATGGTACTGATATTAGTTTGATACATTCATATGAATTATGTGATTCACATGTTACCTGTATTGAATCGGTTGGATCTTATGCAGTTTGGATTGGTCTACGACAAGGACGTATTATTGTGATTGATGCTAGTTCACCGGGTGAATGGCAACAATTTGCTGCATTAGATGTATCAGCTGAAGTAACCTGTATTAGATATTTTGGTAATTTTGTTTATGTTGGCCTAATCACTGGTGTTGTTGCTTTGTTTAATGCTACTCATTATGAAGAACCAATAATCATATCATTATCAACTACACATCCGGTTACCTGTTTACTACCTGTCAATAAAGAAATGTTTGCTTGTTGTGGTGAAAAAATCTGGATCATCAACAATGCCCAATTGGATCGTAGTTATTATCTTCATAATAATAATAAAAATAGTCCATCAAATGAACAATTATCACCAGGTGATCCTGCTATCAATGTTCAACATTTTCCTGATGAAGATCTTAAACCAAATCTACTTGCACATTGTGGTATTGGTCTTTGGGTTAGTTTAGTGAATTCTTCGATTATCAAATTATATCATACGGAAACATTTAAACATTTACAAGATGTTAATGTTGCTTCGAATGTGAAACGAATTCTTAATGAAATGATAGATCCGAATGGAATTTTCGTTACAGCTATGTTGGCCACACGTGGCCTATTATGGATCGGCACAAATGTTGGTGTAATTGTAACATTAAATTTACCTCGTCTACAAGGTGTACCGTTGATATCGGGTTGTTTGAATGTTGCATTACATCGTCATACTGGACCAGTCACAATATTGCTCAATTTGACAAATACTCAAAGTGAAATTCCTGTACATCCTAATAATTCAACAATGGATAAAACAAAATCAATGGAAGAAATAGAAAAAGAAGAAATGATGATGATGATGAAAAATGAAGATGTTGAATCAATTTATGGACTTTATTCAGATTTAATGAATGTTGAAAATTATGTTCGTGTTGGTCATGATCATCGACATGATATTGGAAATGTAACAAATAGTGGTCATCATATGGCTGTATCTAAAATGACATGGGATTTAGCCAATATTAATCTTTCGGATGATTCTACATCGGAAAGTGCAATCTATCAAGATGGATTAATATTACGAAAGAAACCAACATCAACAGCTAATCTAATGAATTTGAATAAACGAAGAACATTAGGTAGTGGTGGTATGACATCGGCTAGTAGTCAACGAGAAATAAGTAATATTGGTAATTATCCAATATCTTCGGTACAACCGAATAATCAATTAAGTCCGGCTAAAAGTCAAAATAGTATATATGATTCATCGATTGGTGGTGGTGGTGGTGGTGGTAATGATAAAAGTTTAATTGAAAAAGAAAATATTTCATCATCATCGGGTATTGGTGCAAGCAGTAGTCTTTATGATATTGCACCATTTAAATCGGGACAGAAAATTTCGGCAACATCAACAATTGATCAACCATGTTCATCATCAAGTAGTAGTAATAAATATAGTAATCATCCATTAGTATCATCTACTAATCAACAACAACAACAACAAACAGTTATTAGACATTATGATAATACAATTGGATCATCATCGAATAATAATAAAACAGCATTATTAATGACCGGAGGAAATGGATATAAACGTGTATCATTGAATGAGGCAACCTATTCAAGTCAACATGCACATTGTTGTATATGGGAATATAAACTTTAAGAAAGAAAGAAAAGACAAATATTGATTGAATCAAACCAAAGAAATTCTGATTACACCGTATTTTTTGCACCGTTCATGCCATATTTTTGATTGAAATTTTTTTTCGCACTCTCCATTTTGCATCAATATTCCGAAAGAAATTTTTTCAGTATTTATTCAAAAACACATATAGAAATTTACTTTTCGACAGAAATACAAATTACGAATTTTAAAAAATTGAAATTTTCTCGACAAACTGAAAACAACAACTTGACCAAACAAACAATCATTGAACAAAATGTAACATTTTTTTTCACACTAAAATTTTTTTTAACTGACTAATTCAAATGACCAGAAATTAACTATAAATGAAATGTAGATTTAAACAATCATTTGCTTATCATCACACTATCATCATTATCTATTTAACAATTTTTATTCTTCATTTTTTTTTTTGCTATAATAATTCTTGTATGTTTTTTTTTATTTGTATTTTGTAAAATTATATTTTGCAATAAAAATTTTTTTCTTATGGATGTGTGCTGTAATTTTATTTTCAAATTCATTTAATGGTCATCATCAATCAGTTGGATTATTATCATTTTTTCATTTTCTTTGATTAAGACAAATTTCAAAATCTTTAAGCGAATAACCAAATGCAATACCGATACCATAATGAATTGGCCATGCACGTCGTTTGAATAGAATTAATGATGTTAATGAACCAACTGCAATACCGATACCGGTATTCACTATAGCATTTGCTATGAATCGATCATATTTCTGACAAATCATTGTATCCGATTTAATTTTTTCATTTGTTACATTCATTTTGTTATTATTTTCAAACCCAAAAAAAGAATGGATTATTCTATAAAAAAACGGAGAAAATATTTGTAATCAATTTAATAAACATTATGATAAGAATTTTTTTTTTGTTTACCCGAATTTGAAAATTTGGTTTGTTTTTTAATTGAAATTAAATCAAGAAAAGAAAAAATTGTTGAATTTTTGAAACACGTTGGGTTCAGATTTTGTGTGTTTTCAGCTGACTTTTTTCGAATGATGATGATATGTTCGAAGGACAACAACAAACACAATTTATGCGAATGGTGCTCCATCTCTTCGTGAATCACATGAAGCAATATGGATAACACGCGTGTGTGACATCATCATTTTTTGTTTGTTGTTTGCCCGTTTTCATTGATATTTTTGTTTGAAAATTATTTCGGGTAACAAAAAAACCGTTCGCAATTTTTTTTGATACAAAATTAAACATGCCAACAATTGCGGTTAATCGTAATGAATTGTTTAAACGTTTAGGTCGTGTTTACAGTGAGTATATTTATTTATTTGGTTTTTGTAAATTTTTTAAAAAATCCTTTTTTCACATGAATCATGAAAAGCCGAAGATGAATTTAATAATCTTTGTTTTGAATTCGGTATCGAATTGGATGAAGTAACATCGGAAAAACAATTCAAAGCAAAAGAACAAGGTATTACAGATCAGGCAATTACAGATCAAGAAGAGATTATTTATCGTATTGAAATACCAGCAAATCGTTATGATCTACTTTGTTTAGAAGGATTAGCACGTGCTTTGAATATTTTTCTGGAAAGGTATGTTTAATATTCATTTCACCATCAAATCTGATGATAATGATTAATTTTTTCTTTCAAAGATCAACGATTCCAAAATACAAACTTTCTAAGCCATCATCATTGAAACAGAATGAATTGATTGTTTTACCAAACGTGAGTAGCGAATTGAAGTTGTTGTTTTTATCATTTAAATCTGATTTTGTGATTCAAAAATGATGAATAGACCGAAAAAATTCGACCATTTGTTGTTGGTGCTATATTACGTGGTATAAAATTTACACAACTTTCATACAATAGTTTTATTGATCTACAAGATAAACTACATCAGAATATATGCCGAAAACGAACATTAGTTGCAATCGGTACACATGATTTGGATACAATTAAAGGACCATTCTATTATGATGCTCGTGAACCAGAATCAATTGAATTCCAACCATTAAAACAGACAAGAAAATTTAATTCCAAAGAATTATTAGAATATTATCTTTTAAATGATGAACATATTAAACCATATGTTTCAATTATAAAAGATAGTCCAGTTTATCCGGTTATTTATGATTCAAACAATATTGTTCTTTCACTTCCACCAATTATTAATGGTGAACATAGTAAAATTACATTGAATACCAGTAATATTTTTATTGAATGTACTGCTATCGATTTACATCGTGCAACTATTGTACTTGATACAATTGTCTGTTTATTTTCTGAATATTGTTCTGAACCATTTACAATCGAACCGGTACAGGTAACACAATCGGATGGTAGTAAACAAATTTATCCATTACTTAAATATAGAAATGAAAAAATTTCAATGAAATATATTAAAAATAATCTTGGCATTGGGTATGTATTGAGTACAAACACAAAATGTTGTTTGAATTAATTTTTTTTTGTAAATTTTATCCTCGAACACAAGTATCGATCTAAATAATATAAATCAAATTTTAAAACGAATGTATTTGGAATCGAAAACGATTAATAATGATGAAATTGAAGTTTGTATACCACCTGTACGACAAGATATATTACATCCATGTGATATACTTGAAGATATTGGTATTGGTTATGGTTATAATCGTATGCAATTATTATTACCACAATCATTTACAATTGGTAAACAATTATTATTGAATAAAATAACTGATCAACTTCGTAATGAAATTGCTCGATGTGGTTTTACAGAAATTTTTACCTTTAGTCTGGTATGTTTTCTTTTGTTGAAATAGTTTTTTTTACGATTTTTCAAATGTTTTTTTTATGCACAGTGTTCACGTGATGATATTGCTGATCGAATGCGTGATAAAGATTCATTGTCAAAAGCGGTGAAAATATCGAATCCAAAAACATTAGATTTTCAAGTTGCTCGAACATCATTATTACCTGGTATATTGAAAACAATAGCATCGAATAAAAATATGCCTTTACCATTGAAATTGTTTGAAATATCTGATGTTGTTCTTAAGGATGATAGTTATGGTATGCAATTTTTGTAATTTTTTTTTTGTTTCACTGATAACTAAATGAAAATTTTGTTTTTCCCCCTTATTTATTAAAGATGTTTGTGCACGAAATGAACGCTATCTTTCGGCTATTTATTATCATAAAAATTCTGGTTTCGAAATTATACATGGATTATTGGATCGTATGATGCAAGTGTTGGAAATACCGATGAAAAATGAAACCAATACTACTATTGGTGGTTATTATTTACGAGCAAAAAATGATCCACGATTTTTAGATAATCGTTGTGCAGAAATATTAATCAATGAACAAATAATTGGCATTATGGGTGTTGTACATCCGGAAGTTGTTTGTAATTTTGAATTAACAATGCCTTGTTCTGCTTTAGAGATTACCATACAGAACATTTACTAGGGGAGTGTTTTATGTGTGGGGATTATTGAAAAAAAAATTTGAAAAACAAAGCAAAAAATTTTCTTTTCTTTTTTTATTATTTTGCTTCTTTTTTTTTTTGGATTTCTGTTGTTGTAATTATCATTTGAGTATTTAAAATACGTTTTCTAATTTCGTTTTTGACTGATTGACAAATTGGTTTGTTTTGGAGGGGGGAGGGAGGAAATTCATTTTAATTTTTTTTTATTATTTACAAAACAAAAAATTTGATAAAATTTTTTTTTTTTCTTTTCAAAATCTTTATTGTAATATTCAAATTTCTTTTTTTGGTTCGTTGACGGTGCTTATAGCTGTTGCTGCTGCTGTGGTAGTATCTGTTGTTGTTGTTGCTTTACCATTCGAATGATGGTGGTGATCTTGATGATGATGAATATTCGGATCGGCAGTCCATTTTGATGATTTAGCATTATGATGATGATGATTATGATTATGATGATGGTGGTTTGAAAATTTTCTCAAATAATTATTGACAAATAATTTGGCAAACATAAAGAAAAATGTTGAATAAACAATAAAACCAAATGTAGCCGTTTTGACTGGTATTTCACAATAATTTCCGGATAATTTAGAAAAAAATGCATAACCACTAACATAAAAACCGAATATCATCTGTATAATCTGTAATGATGTAACAGTCATAGCAATCTGCCTTGGTATATAGATTTGCATCGAACGAAATGCATAATATGCATACATTAATGAATGTACAACCATATTCATAGTGACAAACCAACGTCCTAATGATATATTTTGACCATAACTATACCAAGTATAAATTAATGCCAAAATATGATGAAACCAATGTAATAATATTAATTTTTGTTTACGTAATACGATAAAAATTGTATCACCCAATTCAAATATTTTTGATAATGCAAACAACCACATCCAATATTGAGCAATAGAATTTGTTGATGCTATACAAACAGAATGATTAATACCTTTCAGGTAAAATGTATCATACATTTCTGGTAACATATAATAACTACCAGCAATACTGAATATTGTTAACAATATATTCCATAGTGTTAAACAATTACGTAATTTAAATGGTTCACGTTGACGCATAAATTGTTGTATAGAAAATACGACCAACATATATGCAATTGATACATAAACAGAATAATGCCAATTTTCTTCCATCCATTTTAGGCTGGAATTTATATCCCAATCAAATATTGAAAATTGTGGTTGACATTCTTTATAAACCAATGATTTATGGCCAGAAATTCTTGTCATTTTTTCTTCTTTTTCTTTTTCAATATTTATTTGTCGACGTTGATGGAAGTCTGATGGATGGTTATTTGATGATTTTTGAATCAAATGATGATGATATGCACCAATTATAGACAGTGGTTACAGACAATCTTATTATCAGAAAATTATTATCTTTCTCTTTTGTTTTGAAATTATTACCGATTTTTCGATTTGCTTTTGCTTTGTTCTTTCCAAAACAATCGATATACTTTAATTATAATAACAATAACAATAATTGACGGGATTGACAAATGTTTCGGTCTAAGGATTTTTGATTCGTTGCAACGAATATAAAAAAAACTCTAATTACAGGTAGATGACATTTGAATTTGTTGCAAATGAATGAATGAATGATGCACGTGTTTTATTCACATAAACAGACACACAGAAGAAAAAAAACACCAAATTGAAGAAAAAACCAGAATGATTTTTCTTCTGATTCACTAGGCGTTTCTATACATTTCAAAATCACACAAACAAAAAAAAACAGAAATTCTTGTTTTTTGTTGAAGGGGGGAGATATTCGTTATGCACAATTTACTCAAATATACACAACACACACACACACACTGCACATCAATGAAAAATCACATAGACAACAATAGAGTGAGAGAGAGAGAGTTTCAACAAAGAAATTGTTCCTGAACAGACTCGAATTGATGTTTGGTGTATTGGTCTTTGTTGTCTTGTTGTCTGTGTATGTATGGTTTGTCTATGTTCGATGGCTTCAAACAAACAATAACGACGAATATCGTTGAAAAATGAGATGTTGTTGTTCGTGTTTGGAAAACAAGAAAATATCTTTAAACCACGAGACTTTTGTTGTTGTTGTTGTTGTTGGAAAAAAAACTGGCCCAAGAACAACAACAACAACCAAACTTTAGTAAAATTTGAATGAAAAATTTTTAATAATAAAGGGGACTTACACACAGGCACAAACTTGGAAAATGGCCTGATATTACTCTTCTGATATCCAGATTTTTGCTTAGAACTTTGATGACAAATCTCGTATGATTGAAAATTTCTTCAACGAAAAGAAAAAAGGAAAAAGAAAAAGTTGTTGTTCGTTGTTATTTTGGCGCGTCATTAAGTTTATCCATTCGGAAGTTATCAACATGAACAACATTCGAATTGTTCTTCGAATTTGACTCTTTTTTCTCTTCAAAAACAAATTTTTCTCTTTTTTTCCAATTTTCCAATATTAATGATGATGAAAGGCTCTTTTATTCAGAAAATTTTTTTACCTGTATGATGATCGATAATAATGATAATGATTTTCGTTTGTTTGTTTTGTTTTGCTTTGTTTGATGTGATTTTTCATAATCGATAAATATTGGTGTAAAAACATTTCCCTTTCACTTCTTCTTTTTTCCACAATAGCTGGTTTCTGACATTCCAAAGATCTTACAATTAGTCAAGTGAGTAATTTGAATAAGAAAAATCATCCAAGATGATCAAACTT